GGATGTTGAGAATCATGCTGCAGGACCCAAAAATTCCGACAGGATTTAATAAATATGTTATTAAAAATAGAAATTCCTTTATTTGTGGTTATTCATTTTCCACAACCCTCCGCATTCGCCTAATCCCAGCGAATGTGGAGGGGTGACTGTAGTGTGCATAGCTGCCTTTTGCTTTTGTTGGTTTTTGTCTACTTGAGCCTGTACAAATATTTGTATATCAAGCAGAATGAGCATGCTTCTCTGGGATCTCCATCTCTTTGATTATGCATGTTCGAACACACCTGTACAATGGATTCAGCCAGTAAAGCTATCATCCCATTAAGTGGAGCTTTCTCTCAACCCGATTTCCTTTCCATCTGGGATGAAAAGAATGAGTTATTTTGCAATGAAAACTTTTGCAATGGCTAGGCTATCATGCTGTTACGGCAACCACCCCATGGAAAGTATGAATGGACCCTTAGTGCTGTAAAATGAAAGTACAAATGCACCCTTAATGCTGTAAAATGTAGACACATAGAAATGCTGATTCCTGCCATTTTACTTTCAGCTCCTTGACGTCTGGTTCTTTTTATGATCTGATCCTGTGGATGAGGTTATGTTGCTGCAGCACAAGCAGTGAACTGTCTTATAGTACTTAAAGCATTAGCTTAATCCCAGGGAGTGAACAAAACAGCCTATTCCGCCTTGTTGTGTTGGAAATGAGAACATAATATTATTGCGTGCCAGAAAGGACACAAAATGAAGAATGATGAAAGATCAGGAAGGGGCAGGAAAGGAAAGTTTTAAAAAGAAAGATCCCTTTAACAGTAAACTACATCCATTATGGGAAGAAAGATATACAACTTGAACATTTGCAATTAATCAATCAAGGACCTCATCACACCGGAGAATGACTCAACTTTAAATTCTGCTTCCTGCAGAATTCTGGGTTTTGTAGTTTAGGGAGGAGCCTTTAACAGCCTCACTAAACTACAAACCCCAGAATTCTGCAGGAGGTATAAACCAGATTTAAAGTGGATTCATTCTCAAGTGTGATGAGGTCCTTAATCCAGTTGTGTTCCATGGGATGAAACTGTTTTAAGAGGAAATGTTGGCTTAAATGGTTTGAGAATGCCTATATGATTTATGTTTAGTGTGGAACATTTTAAAGCCAGCGATATAGGACTTGGGTGCTTCTATTTAAATCCTGCCAGATCACGACAATCACAAAGAATGTTGTTGCTTCTTCAGTTCACACTTTCACACCAAGTTGACTTTTTTAAAAGAAAAAGCAAAACATTTTGGAAACAAAGGTAGAAAGGACTTACAGCAGTGAGGCAGGCAGGGTTAGGGTCCCCAGGGGGCAGTTAGTAAGACAGTTTGGTTCTGGACACAGACAGACAGAGGAAAAAAAGAGAGGAAGTAGGTTGGAAAGAATATTTAAACCAGAGACTTGTAGTCAGCATTGAAGAGCTCTCCAGATTTCACTCATAGCCTTTATTATGTCTTGGCCTTTTCTGGAGAGACTACAGGAAAGAAACAAATGGGCTAGCTTCAAACTGAGAAAACACATGGGGAAGAGGAGGACAGTTTAGCCATGGTAATACTGCCTCAGAAAACATATTCCATTGTTAAGAATGCATTCTGCCTCTTCTGAATCTATAACGAAGTCAGACAAAATTATTTCAAATGAGAAAGCTGCATTTTCTCTCTGTTTTTACAAAGAACAGGAATGGTTCTTAATCACAGGATAGCTTCCAAAGTTTACCTAATAGACTTGACTCTGCTATTTTGACTTTGTATCTTAGAGGTTTATATAGAAAGGAGAGAAAAGGGAAACTGAGGAAAATAAAGCTTTCTAATGTTGTCTGTTATTCTGGGGGAAATCATTCTCAGCAGAGACTTTAAATATGCAGCCAGTGAAGTGTTATTAGGAACAGAATATGATGAGGCGAGTCCTGCAGCAGCTAATCTTTTCGGTAGATAATATGGGCTGCTGGTCTTTCTTAAAAGATCTATCCTTTCCTAGCCTCTGGGGAAAATATTGTGATGGCTGATATATGCACAATCCATTTCTATCACAGCAATTTTTGGGAGGGGCAGAGGGCCAGAACCATGTTGCCTTTTGTCTGACCAGAGAGAAAGAGTGTCAGGTTCCTACATAACATGACATACTAGTCAAGCAGAGGCTTAGTAAAATGACAGATCAGGCATTTTAAAATTTGCATCTTGTAGCTATGGATTCAGCATACAGCCACTGAGACAGGTTAAACAAGTTATGAACCATCGCTTCCATATGTCTAGTGTGTATGTATATATATATAATGCATATATGTCTGCATATATGTACACGTAGTCTAATATGCAAAGAGATCTTTGAGAGGGAGAGAAAGAAGTTGTTAATATAAGCTTTGCAGACTGGAGTCTATAAAAACTTATGCAACAAACCTCCCTATCTCAGTCTCAAAGATACTACAGGACCCCTTTGCATACTGATCCAGATTAATATGGGCTATGTCTTTGAAATCTACCAGAAGTAGTCAAGATTGTAGCAGGTATCACAAAAAGTATCCTATTAGAACATTAGAAGGAAGGAAACAGCAAGAAGCACAAATGAAATAGCAATAAGCTTTTGACCATCATTCCATGCAGGAATTTGGAACCAGTAAGACATCATGCCAGGAGGATCGGGGACAAGACAAAATCTTCCTTCAACATGACCAGATAGACTGATTAAGGAGGGTTAGGTGAGACATTCCAATAGCTATAATGATAGCATAAAGAACATTACTGATACAACATTTTACTTTGCATAGCACGCCATTTTAGGTGCAGCTCAGCCACCAAACATATGCAAAAATGTGCTTTGGCAAGTTTTGTTGAAAGGAAAACATTGCAAAACCATTTTCTTAAACTTATCTGGTGTAAGTGATAATTCCACAAACCTTATTATTAATCATGTTTGGAAAATCCATATTTTGAACTCAAACTTTTCAAATTTTACATCTTTATAAACAAATGCACAACATTCATGGAGAATTTCAGGATGAAAGCAATCCTAGTTGAGAATTGTGCTGGCTGTGGGTGGTTAGCATCACACATAATTATCTTCAGCAGGCTCAAATGCCTTTCTGAGAGATGAGCCCTCTACCATCTGATCTCAGGGATCTGCTGCCATAATTCCACTTATAGCCAAGTTCTGTTAACAAAATAGGAGAATGAGGCAAAAGCTGAGTTACACCAGATCTAAACCTCCTTCAGTCCAGAGTCACAAATGAAATGTGTGCATAGAAGCATGGATGGGCCAAATCCTAAGTAATCTCAAACTCAGTTAAACTAGGACACATTAGTATTTGGCACACATGGATCTGGATTCAGCACACACTGCATTGGATCTCAAGGAAGAAAAAACCAAAAATATTATGGTACCATGATGACTAACCGGTTATATACCGCTTTGGCTACTTATCTATATTAGCTCGTGCCAGATAACATTTGTTAGTTTTCAAAGATCCACTGGAGTTTCATTTTTCTTGAAAGTATACATTCACAATATGTATTAATAACAGAGCTATTGTATCCATAACTCTCAAAATACTTCTTTCCCCAAATTTTTGACTATCTGGAGTAGATCGTTTTCATGGAAAATTTTGCTATTACATTAACAGCAGCAAGGTATAACAAAAAAATATCAACCGACATGTTTATTAGAGCAGGATTTGCATTTTCTAATGTTTGTCCTTTAAAGGTTAATCTGAGTTATATATTTTGAAATATGGAATGACAAGTACTGTAACTTGATTTCAAACTCTTATGACAATTCAGGAATCATCACCTGCCTCAAAACCAGTGGAGAAGGTAAGTGCAAATATAGCTCTTGTTCAACAAGGTTTGCTTTTAAATGGCATCTAGTGTGTGTTTATGACTAAGCTGACTTAGACCATACTTCTAATAGCTACAGGGCCATCCTAGATAAGAGAAAAAAAACTTTCCAGTAGGAACTGTCTCAACACTTTTCAGAGAAATATCACATGCAGAGCTGCTGGAAAAGGAATGAGTCAATAGATCAATATATTTATGGAAATCTTCAATTCTAGAACATTTCCAATATATGCTAGAATCATGAACGTTTCCAAGATACACTCTGAGAGAACAAGCTGCAATGCAATATGTAAGGTCTGTTCTCCTCCAATGCTCTCTGTTTTCTATGACAGGACAAAGAGGTCCTGCTGAAAGACCTTCGATTGAGAAAGTGAATTTGCAATACTGGCAAATAATAGTGTAATCTCATAAATATATTTCTTACATCTGTGACCTCTCTGTCTTGTCTATAAAACTGAAATTTCTAAGAAATCCCACATAACACAACATGGTTTCTTCCATTGAGTCATCCCACATCATTCTAGATTCCAGAACTGGATATGACAATTCTTAGGATATCATACCAAAATTTCTCACATAAAGGCTTCTTTTTTTACTTTCTGGCTTAAAAATTCTATCAATAACTTCACTGAATGGAAAGTACTATCTCATGTAATGTACAAAAGAGATTAGAATGAACAATGGTGCACCCTCTCCTCGGTGCCTTATTTGAAAAATAGTATGTGTGTGAGTTGCATCAGTAAGTGGAAATATCTTCATATCCTTTGAGATGTAAAAGTGAAAGGAGTTCATTTGGGTAACTGCTTTGGATGATCTCAAGAAGGAAATCCAAGGGTCAACTACTTCAAATTTCTAGCATTTTCTCTTCAATGCTTTCATTAAATTATCCAAAACCATTATGATATGCATTGCCTGTGGATTCAATACTGTACAAGTACTGTACAATTATATCAAGTCTTCCAAAGTATATGTGTGTGTAAGGTAGGACCCTGCAGTGTTAATTTTCTTCCAAAATGTAACAAATATACATTATGAAATACATCTGATATTGATTCAAACAACTATTGGTATTTGTTTACTGGAATTCACAATTACACTTAATCTAAAATTGTTTATTATGTGAGCATAAATTTCATTACCTCAATGGACCCTGGTTCAACTTTGTCTATTTCTCCTGTGCTGTTCTCATTGCTAAGACTGGGAGGGCTGTAAGAAGCAAGCCTTTTTTCCTCCTTTAAGGCATGCTCCATCAGTTTCTTGTTCAAGATTCTGGCAGCATTTTCTGTAAGGTTGTATCCCGGAGGAGCAGATAAGTCCTGCCTAATGCTTATGGTCTCAGTTCCTTCATCCTTTTGTAACTCTGCACCAAAACGGAGAGGACTGGGTGACCGGCCCCGAATACCCGCATACATGTCCTGCATAGGTCCCAGTTCTGACCTGGGTTCTGCCGACCTTGATCGGCTGCTAGACCTGGAGCATTTTTGGAGGGTGTCCTGAACTACAGGGGTATGGTCAATGATATTGAATAAACTGGAGAGGCCATCGTTGATTGTGGTATGAACGGGACTTTCCCGTGTAGTGGTGGATCTGGCCCAAGCAGATTCACTGAAACCTTTCTGAGGTGTGCTTGGGGAAGTTCGGTTATTTGGTTGATCTGTTTTAGAGAGGGTTTTCTTCTGTAATTTGGGGGAGCCGTATTTGGGAGAGCAACATGTGCGTTCAAATTTGGCCTGGACCTTTTCAATAGCAGGTGCCATCTGTCTACTTCTGAGGCTTCTGGATGGTGATGACACAGGTGTGGCTCCCCCTTTTGGTGTCAGACACCTGTGTGGGCTGCTGGTGATACTGCGCAAAGTTTCTGTTTGCAAGCCCACATTGATTGTTTGAGTGGTCTGAGTCCCCATAGTCCTCACCCCATTAGTCTGACAAGCTGTGTCTTTGAACTGAAGCTCTGTTGAGTTGGTTCGTATTGCGTTTCTGACAGAATAAGCAACCTCCTTCATATCATCACTCATGTTTTTGGACATCTCCAAGCTGTGTAAAGATGATGCAAAACTCACAGTAGTGCAAATAGGGCGCTCGATTGGATGAATACCAGTTTCCATAAAATTGTTATGATGCCTGGAGAGGTCACACGACCATCGCCCAAACACTTCTGAAGGAGCACCTTTTGTCTCACCCACATTACCCTTAGTTTTGGTCACAGGAAACAAAAAGTCTTGCTCAGGCTGGCCTTTCCCTTCATTGCCACCTGCTACTGAGTTATCAAATCTGCGGACAACGGGTGGACTATGAAAGACTCTAACTCCCACTTTTTCTGTAGCAACATGACTCCTCAGCGGCTGTTTCTGGCAGTGCTCAGGGCTGGTCACTGTATTAGTTGTCATAGTCACACTAGTGGTGAGATACCATGAAGATGGCTGGAATGGATCTGGAACTGAATTATTCCCAGCCTTCCCAATCTCCATCCTTTCTGCCCATGCTTCAACAGGCTTCTCCACAGCTCCACCGTTGTTTCTGGTAGTGCTGTAATCCCAATTTTTGTTGAATTCCTCAATGTATTTCAGATCATCTGGGGATAATGGAGGTGTTATATCCTCCTTGGTGCTGGAGGAAGGAAGAGTCTTTTCAGGGAGAAAAGGAGAAATGTCCATCAAGCGCTTGAATTCTGACATAGAGGAAACCGACATTGCCCTGAAGAAGGAAAAGTGTAGTGTTAAATGGATAAAATAAAATGAATATAAGCATCACAATAACACAATTGTGAATTCTGTCCAAATATACAATATCTTGAAGTAGCTGATTACTCTCCTGGTTTCTAAGATGAACATTTGGAAAGATAAAAGTCATTTTAAGAAGGCTTTCTATTGTTAACCAATTTCCCGATGACAGAGATGACCCATTAGACCAATATTTATTTATTATTTATTTACGACATTTAAATGCCACTCTTCTCACCCCGAAGCAGACTCAAAGCATTCCAGTTGGTTCATATTAACTATAAAATGTATAATATTTAAGGAAAAAGCTGTGACAAAACTAAATACTAGTTTGAAACAAGAGTGGGCAACCACTTAGGGCAGTGGTTCTTAACCTGTCGGTCCCCAGATGTTTTGGCCTTCAACTCCCAGAAATCCTAACTGCTGGTAAACTGGCTGGGATTTCTGGGAGTTGTAGGCCAAAACACCTGGGGACCCACAGGTTGAGAACCACTGGCATAGGGACATGGGCCAAATGTGCCTCCAGGCTGCTAATTGGGCCACATTTACCCTATAGAAATATTACATACTTTATTTTCTTATGCTGTATCTTAAAAAATGGCACCAGGAAGTGATGGTGGGTGGAGGATTTTATGGGACCGCTAAGCTGGAGTTTACAGACTGCAACATGCCCAATGTACCACAGCTTTCCCATCTTGGGTCATGTGCAGATGGATGGGGTTTTTAAAATCCATTGGGAATGAGGCATAGTTATACAATTGCCTCCTACACAGAGGTAATTCAGAAAGCAGAAAGTTCGCGAGTCACAAATTTTGGGTAGGCATGAGTCACTCTGTCTAGCTATAGAAAGCAATTTCTATATCTCCTTAGATTGAAAAATAATTCATCCCAAAATCTCAAGGAAAGAAAAAAAAAATCCTAAAATGCTATCTTTCTATTAAACTAAACCAGTAAGTGTTGCAAGTGTACCCCAAAAAGCAGAAAAAATTGATATGTAATAACTTTGTTGAGGAAGAGAATATACACATTTTTCATCATAATTTTACATCAGAACACATGATTGCTTCTAAATGATATAGTTATATGGTATTATAAGGATAAAATTCAGCACTGTACATGGAAATTACAACACACTGTACAAAAGTAAAACTACATTAAAAGCTATTGAATTGTCATCTTTATGAAAGAGGGGAAAAGGTATCTATGAAGTATCCGCAGATTATTTTTTTAAAAGTGGAGATGGAGAAACAAAATCAAGTATTGGGGCTAAGTGATTTGTACATTTAGGTAATTAATCTATTAAAGGTTCAAATGTTTACTGAGTTTTGGATGGCAGGTAATATCAGACTATAACCAGCTGGTTGAGTTAATTCATTTTGCGCTTTCTTTCTGTTTTTGCTTCTCTTTGCTCACCTTTGAAGATTTCCCTTGTGCATTTCTTCTTCCTGAAAATAAAATTAACAGTTAATGCTAAACTTGTGTATATGCCTATATCTTGTGCCAGTGGGCTATATTGGAATTCAGTTTCTTCAGTTTCACAAATTATTTGAAATCCTTTGAAGAGTACATGTGATTAATCCCCCCTCCACTCCTACTCCACAAATAGTTAAGATAATTAAGAGGGATTTCCTTTTCTTATATGCATGTGGATAAATCAGTCCCCACACAATTAATTGATAGAACTAAGTCTCCCTTGCATTAGTAACACTAGACAGAAAAAATAATTACAATTCAGTGCTCTAAAACATTATTTAGTTATAATGATATGATCAGAAAGATAAGCAATACATACTGAAATTATCTTTACATGTCTGAAGCTGCTCTTCTGAACTTTCCGCTTTGATATTACTGACCTAGTAGTGCTTAGATCAGAGATAACGATCCACCCCTTTCATAAATTATTTCCATTATAAATCACTAGACATTCAGAAGTGGCATTAGCTGAAACTCATTAAACGATTGCTATAAAATATGTGGGCAGACTTTCTTCATATAGGGAATACTACAATGATTCCTCACAACACAGTGTTGTCATAGAAACTATCCTCCTGTCATAATATCCATGATCGGTTTTAAAAACTCGCATTTTCCTGAACAGAGTTATTCTAGAGTGAAAAAGATAACTGTTTAAAGTTCTAGTAAGATAAACAATTCTATGCACAAATGTAAGAGCTCCAACATAAATGTCAACATTAGCAGCCCAAATCTCTTCAATCTTTTTCATATGCAGGGCGAGGAAATGAGACTGCATGGTGTAGTAGTAGTAGTAGTAGTAGTAGTGTGGAAATGAGACTGTGATATCCTGTTACCATATAAGGTGTGCATAATGTTTGAATAGGGATCTTAAATTAAAAAAAAAAAACCATTGTGAATGCAGTCTGGTACCAGACCAAGGTTATAATGACCCTCACTGCTAAGGGTTGCCAGCCACTAGTAGCCTGCTGTTCTGCCCTCAACAAGAATTCACTCGCATTTACTCCTGCTTATGCACGCACACACACATATAAATACATGCAGTGTTTAAGGATGATATGTTGAGGTTTCCCTTGAAAAAACCTACAAAAACAAATCTACACAATGGGATGTGACTTTCAAATATGTTGCTACAATACCCTCATGTATTTTTCTCAAATGAGTGCACCCCATTGGTGGAAGTCAAATTTCATGACATTTGGAAATCTATATAGAGTGTGAGAAAGTCTACAGGTCTGGAACTGACTGTATTATTGTAGGAGAGAGGTAAAATCCCAAAACTTGAAGCATGCAGAAAGTTTGGCTTAATTGCTGATGTTTGTTTCCTTCCTATATCTGGGGAGCTGAAGAATTATTTCATCAGGGAGGAAGTAGTAGTTACCAGTATATTTGTATTTATATTAGCTTAACTACAATACCAGCCACCTTGGGATAGCATTTTCCCTTGAAAAGTGGGATATAAGTATTCATAAGGTAAGGTAAAGATAAAGGTTTTCCTCTGACATTAAGTCCAGTCATGTCCAACTTTGGGGGTTGGTGCTCATCCCCATTTCTAAGCCGAAGAGCCGGCGTTGTCCGCAGACACCTCCAAGGTCATGTGGCCGGCATGACTGCAAGGAGCACCGTTACCTTCCTGCCGGAGCGGTACCTATTGATCTACTCACATTTGCATGTTTTCGAACTGCTAGGGTGATGGAAGCTGGGGTTGACAGCTGAAGCTCATGCTGCTCCCCGGATTTTCCATTGAACCTGCAACCTTTCGGTTAACAAGTTTAGCAGCTCAGCAGTTTAACCCACTGTGCCACCACATATTTATCAACAATATTCAAATTCCACTAAAGTGGAAAGGCAAGATGTCAATTCTCCATCATGCAAAAGGTATCAACTTTCCTTTATATCACTAAATCTAGTTACAGATTAATACGTTAATTATAGGTGCAGTGAATTTGTTACTGGATTCCTATAAACATTGTCTTGGAAGCATTCTTTATCAGAAGAGGAACAATACTGAATATCATATTTGAAAATATAAGCGGTAAAAGACTCACCTCATTTCCACATATTAAAAACCTTTCTTGCCCCAGTTCCTGAGGATGTGGTTCTTCAGAATCATCGGGAGAATCAAGGGACAACGTATCCAGAAAGAGGTTTTCTGTGGCAATGCATCTGTCACTTTCTTTTAGCTTAGATGCTGTCCGATCTTCAAACGGCATGTTATCAGAATCAGAGTAAGATCGCAACCCCATTGGACGAGCCACACGATGTTTCTCTGGACTTGAAAATGAAGGAAGGCCAGTTGCTTTTGAGTCACAAAGGATGCTGTCTCCTCGTGAATGTATTTTCTGAAGCGGAGGGAAAAATCACAAAAGAAAATCAACTGGCTATAAAAATTCAAAGTACGTAATTGCTCTTTACCTTTTCTCCCCTTATATTTTATTCCGCATTATAGATTTCCATTGTTTCATCTTACACCATGGTATTTCTAAGAAAGATGGGGAAAACAATTCAAGTCAAATGAAAATGCCCCCATGTAATGATTCTCATTGTTCAGAAATTATCGTTCTGGATACTTCTGCTGGTAAAGATATACCTAATAGGAAACCTTTCACACCCTAGTTCATTCTTTTAGGTTGCAATGGAAACAGATTCCATTGGACAAATCGGAACTTCTGAATAATGATGCAAAAGGTTCAATTTCCAGTCCTAGACCCTGCCATTGATTGTAATGGAAGGACAGTTTTACCTTCTAAAACAAAACATAGCTCTAGGACAGTGTTTCTCCACCTTGGGGGGGGGGGGGGTGGGACCTCTGGAGGGGTCATGAAGGAGTATCAGGGGAGTTGCCAAAGACCACAAGAAAACACAGTCTTTTCTGTTGGTCATGGGGGTTGTGTGTGGGAAATCTGGCTCAATTCTATTGTTGGTGTGTTTCATAATGTTCTTTGATTGTAGGTGAACAATAAATCCCAGCAACTACAACTCCCAAATGTCAAGGTCTATTTTCCCTAAACTCTACCAGTGTTCACATTTGGGCATATTGAGTATCCGTGCCAAGTTTGGTCGAGATCATCATTGTTTGAGTCCATTGTGCCCTCTGGATATATGTGAATTACAACTCCAAAACTCAAGGTCAATGCCCACCAAACCTTTCCAGTATTTTCTGTTGGTCATGGGAGTTCTGTGTGCAAAGTTAGGTTCAATTCCATTGTTGGTGGAGTTCCGAATGCTTTTTGATTGTAGGTGAACTATAAATCCCAGCAACTACAACTCCCAAATGACAAACTCAATCCCCCCTCAACCCCACAAGTATTCAAATTTGGGTGCATCAGGTATTTGTGACAAATTTGGTCCAGTTAATGAAAATACATCCTACACATCAGATATTTACATTACAATTCATAACAGTAGAAAAAATACACTTTTGAAGTATCAACAAAAATAATTTTATGGTTGGGGTCACCACAAAATGGGGAGCTGTATTAAGAGCTCATGGCATTAGGAAGGTTGAGAAGCACTGCTCTAGGGATAAACAAACTCTCCCCTCCATTCCACATTCTATGCCACTTGTAATAGCAGAGCTCTCTGTCGAAGAGCATAAAACTTTCTAGGCAGGTTTTGTGCATCTTTCCACTTGGTGAACAATATACCAAGATAGAAAATTCTAAATTCTCTCTCAGTTATGTACATAATGGTACGGTGATTCTGTGGCCACCTTTTAGGCATTAGATGGACTGCCAGAATTAGACAGCATTTAAAATGCAACATTAATCCCTATGAGAGCTAGCGTAAGTGCAGTGGTTCAAGCACTGGACTACAACTATGGAGACCAGGGTTTGAATCCCTAATTTGGACAAGTCACACCTTTTCGGCTCCTGAGGAAAACAAAAGCAGAGCCCTTCTGAACAAATCATACCCAAAAAGTCTGTTGATAGGTTCACATTAAGGTCAACATAAGTTGGAATAGGCTTGGAGGTACACAATAACAACGATCCTCACTGTATTTTTTTTCTACATTTTGGTCGAAACTGTGGATGTGCATATGTAAATATGATATAAAAGCAAAAGACCCATCTTCTTAATTAAACAACAACAAAATGAATTATGAAATAATTAGTTCGAAAATCTGAAAGCTTGCAGTCACAATCAGGACAAAATTAGGTTTGATGTTGTGTCTCAAGAGATAACACTAGCAGCGTACTTGAAAGAGAATATTTGGAGGCCTTGAAAATGTAGGTCAGCATGTTTCTATGTATAAGCTGAATTTCCATAATTATCCAAAATGAACTATTTTATCTTCTATAGAGTATGTTTCTGTTTCTTACAATATGATGAAAGTTATCAGAGAAAAAATTGTTACGGCTATCAAAGAAACGTATCTTATACACCAATATTTCAAATTGTCTTTTTGTTTTACTGATACTTGCTGTCTAAACTTATTTATTTTAATATAAATATACTAATCACTTCTACAGAAATTAAATTATGGGTAGTATTTGCAGAAAAGCCATTGAACTAAAGTTATACAGATCTCCAGAAAATTCCTGATATACAAGGAAATGTTTGATTATTATTAGTACAGATGCTTTTGTGAATCTGCATAGGTAAAATGACAGATTTGTAATTGCTATTCTTGGTTGCTCAGACCTTCTAAATAGTACACTCTTCTTTTTTTAATTTCTCATACTTGCACAGGATAATTACATGCAAAGGGGTTTAGGTACAATCTGCACATGACCTGTGAAAGACAAAAACTTGTGTATTTTGGTTTGGGTTTAGAAACAATCAGCCAATGTGCCCCAAACAACAGGAGAGGAATTGAAATGGGATTTCAAAAGCAAACCTATCAAACAGATACTTAAGTCAGGTGTAGACAACTCTGGGTGCCAATTTTCCTCCTTGTGGCAGTGAAAAATTATTTGGAAGGTTCTGGTCCAGCTTACCTATCTGAACGTATCTCCTTCTATGAGCCAGGAAGAGCATTAAGATCAGCTGAAGAGGTCCTGCTCTTGGTCCCACCACCTTCGCAGGTGTGACTTGTGGGGATGAGAGACAGGGCCTTCTCAGCGGTGGAACTCCCTCCTCAGCGAGATCAGATTGCACCCCCCTCCTGACATTAGTTAGTCAAAACATGTCTTTTTTAAGCAAGCATTTTGAGAGTAAGATGAAGCAGCCAAGACAACTTTGGGATCGGTGCAATGTTATGTTGTTTATGTTATGTTTGATGTTTATAGTTTACCGGTTTTGATCTATTATTGTTATTATTATTACAAGCTATTTTAGTTATTTGTTGTATTTTATACCCTGTGAGGCATTGCGTTTTGCTATTTACTTTGTTGTGAACCACTTTGAGTCCCCCCTCGGGCTGAGAAAAGTGGTATAAAAAAATGAAATAAATAAATAAATAAAGTCAACTCAGAAGTGAACAGAAGTCACTTCTAGTTTATACTTCAATTTTTTGGGCAGGATAAGACAATTTTCATTGCACGTTTTGTGCTCAAGAAATGGGGAATTGCTCTTGTGAATGATGATTCCATTTGGAGCTACTTTAGGGTGATGTTTCATTCATTTTTTAAAAAACGCATTGGGAATTATGGGAAATAGAATGTACTCAGAGAGACACAAAAAGGGACTGGGGCAATGTACAGCCCATGGGATGCACCGCCTCCACCTTGACATAGTTGAACACAAAGGACATAAAAGTCTTGCAATTATTTTACTGGATTGCAACTACCTAACACATTATTTCCAGCTGTGTTGGGAAGCATTACAGCAAGAAAACACAGAGCAGATTCCATTTCCCCAAGAACAGGAATAGTACAAAGCTCATTTATAAATGAAAAGAGGAGCAATTATGCACACAAGCCATTGGAGATTGCACATTAGCTCTTTTAAGCACTCTTTTATGAAAATCAAGAACATACTGGTTTAATGGTTTAAATACTGCAGGGGCAAAAAATCAGAATAGCTGTTGGAAATGTACTCTTTTCTTTGTAACCACTAAGTATAAATCCTGCATCGCTACTATTGTATACTATGTATACCTCATTCCCTCACTTTTTATTCAACTGCCAGTTTCAGTTGAACAAGTTAGCAAGTTTTGTCACTGAGACTAAATATGGATTTTAATAAGAAGTGAAATGATTACATCATTTTCAATACCTTCAACCCCAAAACATCAAATTGTTCTGTAAGTGCTAGAGAAATTTAAGGAAGGGTGTTTTAGTAAGGATTGTCACATGTAAATGTAATTTGATGAAACGTGCATGTAGACAGCCCAATTTGATCTGAAACATCTGCTATAACTTCTTCATGACAAAACAGGCCTCCAGGCATCTAAGAGGGAAGGGAAGCTGAATCATTGGCCCTACTCCCAACTTTATGAAGCTTTTCAGTCTTACTCTTTATTACACACAGCTTCCTCAGTCCTGCCACTATGCGGCAGGGAAGCCAATGCATAGAGAAGCCCTCTATGCATGTAGAATATCCATGTAGCCAGAACCCTGAGTGGGCCAGATTTATCTGGTATATAGGCTTTTTCAGTGTTCAGTGGGTGGATGTCAGAGACTGGGCTGTTGAATCTGTACAATGACTTTGGTAGCAGAAGCCCCCTTCATGGCAATAATATGTGAAGAGGGCTTAACACAATTATGTTGACAGAGATATAATCCTGTCAATACATCAGTGACTGTACAACTGAGCGACACAGTCATTTATCGCAACCATTCTGGCTCTTGTAGTACTTGTCAAAGTTATTGCAAAGAGTCATATATGATGTGTCAGAAATCTAATTGCTACCCCTAGTTTGGCTTTGTCCAGCTGTTGTGCCTAGAGTAACTCTGGCGATATGTCATGAGGAGAATGGATGTTGTTGCAAAATGCCAGATCAGTTAAGCTGAGTAAAATAACCACCACCACCGTTATTCATCATACAATCCTGCCCTGCATTATTGAGAACTGGGTGGGCAAGCTGAAGAGAACGGATCGCTCTCAGCTTAAAGCCTCAAACAAATTACCAAACAAACAGAAGATGAAACAATACAAGAAGAAATATGGAAATCCAGAGGACAAAAGGACAGCAATAAAAGCAGTAAGAAATAAAAGAATCCGAAGTGCTCAGTTCCCAGAAGAATACCTAGACTATTTTCTTGCTGCAAAAAACAATGGTTCTTGTGGTCCCATAAAGACTAACTACTATATTATGTCATGGATTGTGATAGGAAAGCATGGTTCCAGTTTTGTCACCTGTGACTTTTATCAGCATGAGTTTTTATTACACTCTGTATATTTACTATTTTTCCTAGGTGAGAATATCTGTAGTATCATTAACATATGAATAATGCCATTATTGCTGACTTCCTCTATTTCGTTGCCTTCCAACGTCACTTGTTGCAATGACTTCACCATAACAGTGCTTGGGCATGCCCACAAATTCAAGACAGTAAGTTGGATGAAGTAAACTTTCATTCCAATTTATGCAATAACACATTTGCTAGCCTTTCAGGAACTTTGCTGTTTTTGAAATATTCCAGATTTTTATGTTTTAAAATATTTTTCAGAGATGGCATTGAACACCTGTACTAAAGTACTGGGAAATGGACACATATTAGAAACTCTTCACCCTGGTAGCCATCCTGTTACCTAACTTTTTTTCTGATGGAAGCAGTTTGAGATTTATTGTACAGTATGCCTTAGCTGCTATGACATTTCACATTTATAGCCCATATTTATGATCAGCTGGCAGAAGCATATGCTAGCACAAGTGCTCTGCCAGTTGAAATCAACCAGCAGAAGAGTGAAAATACAGGATGGAGAAGAGGGTCATGCAGCCCATGGAAATAGCCAGTATGCAGGCACAAAATTATCAGTTATTTATTTATTTATTTATTTACACCATCCTAAATAATTTCCAAGATCTCCAGCTTGATGTCAACTCCAACTTTTAGCACAACACCACAAATATATCATAGGGATCACTGAAACCTGGTGGGATGATTCCTATCGCTGGAATGTAGATATCGAGGGGTATAACCTCTTTCACAGAAACCGAACAAAGGGGAGAGGAGGCGGAGTAGCCTTATATGTCAAAAACTCTTATGCTGCAGAAGAGATTCAAGACAATCTGGGAAACCAGCTTGAAATCATCTGGATAAGAATCAAGGGAACTGGGACTCAAAAAGATGTCGTTGTAGGCATCTACTACAGACCCCCAAGCCAGGAGGAAGAACTTGATGAAGTCTTCTGCCAACAGTTGACCAAACAGGCACAGAGAAGAGATGTAGTAGTCATGGGGGATTTCAACTATCCCGATATTTGCTGGAAAACAAACTCGGCCAAGAGTACAAGGTCCAACAAATTCCTCGCTTGCCTTGCAGACAATTTCATGGTCCAGAAGGTAGAAGAGGCAACAAGGGGATTGGCTACTCTTGATCTCATTCTAACAAATGCGGAGGACCTGATCGATGCGGTCGAAGTGGTAGGATCCTTAGGGGCAAGTGACCATGTGCTCCTGCAATTTGAGGTACAAAGGAAGGCCGAAACTAAGACAAGTCAAACCCGCATTTTGGACTTTAGGAGAGCTGATTTCAAAAAAAATGAAGGAAACGCTGAGCAGCATTCCGTGGACACAGATACTAAAAGACAAGGGAGTTACGGATGGATGGGAATTTCTCAAGAGTGAAATACTCAAGGCGCAATTGCAAACCGTGCCAACAAAGAGAAAAAATAGGACAAGTGCAAAGAAGCCAGAATGGATGTCCAAAGAACTTCTAACTGTGCTAAGACACAAAAGAGACATGCACAAGAAGTGGAAAAGGGAGAAATCACCAAAGAAGAATTCAAACAAATAGCCAACACCTGTAGGGAAAAGGTCCGCAAGGCTAAAGCAAAAAACGAGCTCAGACTTGCCAGGGACATTAAAAACAATAAAAAGGTCTTCTATTCTTATGTCAGTAGAAAAAGGAAAAACAAGGAGGCGATAGGACCTCTTCGAGGAGAAGATGGGGCAATGCTGACAGGGGATAGGGAAAAGGCAGAACTACTTAATGCCTTCTTTGCCTCGGTCTTCTCACAAAAAGAGAGTCTTCAACCTCAGAAAGATGGAGTGGATGAGGGATTGGAGGACATCCAACCCCAAATTGGGAAAGAAGTCGTCCAGGAATACCTGGCCGCTCTTAATGAGTTCAAGTCCCCAGGGCCAGATCAACTACACCCCAGAGTATTGAAGGAACTAGCGGAAGTCATTTCGGAACCATTGGCAACCATCTTTGAGAGTTCTTGGAGAACGGGAGAAGTTCCAGCAGATTGGAGGAGGGCCAATGTGGTCCCAATCTTCAAGAAGGGAAAAAAGAATGACCCAAACAACTACCGTCCGGTCAGCCTCATGTCGATACCGGGCAAGATTCTGGAAAAGATTGTTAAGGAAGCAGTCTGCAAACACTTAGAAACAAATGCAGTCATCGCTAATAGTCAACATGGATTTATCAAAAACAAGTCATGCCAGACTAATCTGATCTCTTTCTTCGATAGAGCTACAAGCTGGGTAGATGCGGGGAATGCCGTGGATGTAGCGTACCTGGATTTCAGTAAGGCCTTCGACAAGGTCCCCCATGACCTTCTGGCAAGGAAACTAGTCCAATGTGGGCTAGGCAAAACTACGGTGAGGTGGATCTGTAATTGGTTAAGTGGACGAACACAGAGAGTGCTCACTAATGCTTCCTCTTCATCTTGGAAAGAAGTGAGAAGTGGAGTGCCGCAGGGTTCCGTCCTGGGCCCGGTCCTGTTCAACATCTTTATTAATGACTTAGATGAAGGGCTAGAAGGCATGATCATCAAGTTTGCAGACGACACCAAATTGGGAGGGATAGCCAATAGTCCAGAGGACAGGAGCAGAATTCAAAAGGATCTTGACAGATTAGAGAGATGGCCAAAACTAACAAAATGAAGTTCAACAGTGACAAATGCAAGATACTCCACTTTGGCAGAAAAAATGAAATGCAAAGATACAGAATGGGGGACGCGTGGCTCGAGAGCAGTACGTGTGAAAAAGATCTTGGAGTCCTCGTGGACACAAGTTAAACATGAGCCAACAATGTGATGTGGCGGCAAAAAAAGCCAATGGGATTTTGGCATCAATAGGAGCATAGTGTCTAGATCTAAGGAAGTAATGCTACCCCTCTATTCTGCTTTGGTTAGACCACATCTGGAATATTGTGTCCAATTCTGGGCACCACAATTCAAGAGAGATATTGACAAGCTGGAATGTGTCCAGAGGAGGGCGACTAAAATGATCAAGGGTCTGGAGAACAAGACCTATGAGGAGCGGCTTAGGGAACTGGGCATGTTTAGCCTGAAGAAGAGAAGGCTGAGAGGAGATATGATAGCCATGTATAAATATGTGAGAGGAAGCCACAGGGAGGAGGGAGCAAGCTTGTTTTCTGCTTCCTTGGAGACTAGGACACGGAACAATGGCTTCAAACTACAAGAGAGGAGATTCCATATGAACATTAGGAAGAACTTCCTGACTGTGAGAGCCATTCAGCAGTGGAACTCTCTGCCCCGGAGTGTGGTGGAGGCTCCTTCTTTGGAAGCTTTTAAGCAGAGGCTGGATGGCCATTTGTCAGGGGTGATTTGAATGCAATATTCCTGCTCTTGGCAGGGGGTTGGACTGGATGGCCCATGAGGTCTCTTCCAACTCTTTGATTCTATGATTCTATGATCTTTGACCCTCTTAATAAGTTAGAATTATTTACTTAATAATTCTAACTAATTATTCTAACTAATTAACCCCCAATTAGATATCACCTTTGACTTTAATCTTTTGCTTCCACTAATTCCTGAAATTATAGTCATCAATTGTATAACAGTATAAGGAAGATCATACTAGAATTATTTACACTGCAAATGAATAAAGCTACTGCAGTAAATAAAAATGGCTAAATTATCAATTGTATTTGTTTGTTTGGAATACAGGCAGACCTCAAGTTACTGTAGGTTTGTTCTTAAATTGAATTTATTTGTAAGGCAGGACAGATACATTTTAAAGTATAACTCCACCCCTATCTATCTATCTATCTACCTACCTACCTACCTACCTATCTTGGGGAAATGGATAGCATAGGGAAGGGTTTACAACCATATGGTGTTTGTTTTTGCTGTCTGTGTCCTGTTCATAAGATTTCACTGTACTTTCTGTCCCTATGGTAATTGGATTTTGAAAAATTTGGCTTGATCGGGAAACAAGGATTGGTGAGAAAGCTTCAGCAGAGACCCTCTTTCCCCATGATAACTCTTTCCCCATGGTAACTCTTTCAGGAGTGAATTTCCTTTCCTAGGAGTAGGTTTCTCTCACTTCCTGTTGTCTCATCCCCGTTCTTAACTATGAGTCATTTGTAAGTCAGCTGTTTGTAACTTGGGGTCTGCCCGTATCTAGTAAACCCTTATAATCATATTTCTAATATTAGCAGTAGTTTTAAAACGATTCACTTGTTGCTTTGGAAATTAGTTTCTCATCATCTGCAGTATACAGTAGGACCTCTGTATGTATTACAATCTATGACTTGAAAATATCCCTCTCCCCCCAAAAATGTCAAAATTTACATCTTGATGTTGCCATTTTATATAAGGCACACATTTAACTGTAGCATTTTATATAGTGATGGAAAATGTGTGTCCTGGAACGAAGCCTTAGTGGATCCCCAAATCCATTTTTGTTCAGTAAGACAAAGCACTAATCTAGATATTACATGTCCTTCAGGAATTAGTATTTCACTCATAGGTCCCACTCATTGCAAACACTATCAGGTCTTACTTGTGTAAGGGAAGGCCCAAGACAAAATGAGTAGCAGAACAAAACTTTGTTTTTCAGAAGGAAATACGATTTCTGAGACTGAAGAGCAAGAAAGCTTTGCAACACTCGGGATCGAGACTGACTGTACAACTGTAAGATGAGTTAAATGATCTAGGAAATGGCCTTTAACCTTTGACTAATTTCCCATATGCTGGCAGTGAAGCTAAAATTACTTTTTATCTGCTTTAATCCCTTGGGCTTGTATTTATCTGTTAAGAGAAACAATGATGCAGAGAGGCCAAGTTCATCCTTACTTTGAAAGCAGAAAGCAAAAGCTGACAAATCCTTTTGTAGCAATACAGTTAAAGTAAGACACGTCTTGCCCTGATCAGCCCCTGAACTCACCTGCTCCAGTCTCCTTAGCAGCTCCTTCTTTTGCCGCTCCCACTCTCGTCGGTCTTTGTCAAGCCGCTCCAAAAGCTCCACTTTTTCTCTTCTCCAACTCTTTTCGCTGTGTTGGAGTTGCCACCGCAGGTCCAGCATTAACTGATGACGATCAGCCAGATGCTTCTTGTGCTCTTCTCTCTCCCTGTTGAAAGCTGCCTTTGCCTCAAGACCAAGCTCACTTTGTGCTTTTCCACCCTTCTCTTCCAGCTATAAATGAAGCAAAGATGTTAGTGAAAAAGCCAATATATCTTAAAGTAGGAGTGGGCAGGATTTGAATCAGAGGCTGCCTGTTTTTCTGCCAATTTTTTGCATTCCTGCTACCAAATTGATGCCATATCACTGCATGTTGGTGATTTGCTATCTGCCTCCACAGCAGAAATTCTTATTGAAAAACAAATGAAGTGGAGAAATAAAACACAACACTATTAAAATACATTCAACAGGATACATGCGGTAAAATGCAGGTTAAAAATCACTGATAAAATCAAAGTTAAAATTCACAAGTTAAAACTGACTGGGTAGGCCTGCTTGAAGAGATAGATCTTCAGCTGAGTTTTGAATTCTGACAGCTGATTTAGCTGTCAGAGCTCTTCTGGCAGGTCATGTCGTACACCAGAACAGGAACACCTCTGACCTTAAACACCACATCAGCTTGGTAAAATCAGCACGATGTTTATTGAAGAATATATGTAGGCAAAGCAGTAAAATTAGCAAAAATAGTAAAATTCCCAAAACAAGGACTAGTCCATGAGCTTCAAGGCAAAAGAACAACAATCCATGAAAACATGGTAGAATGAAAAATCCAGTATATAAATCAGGAGCTTGGAAACAAACTTGGTACATGAAACTAAGAACACTTGAAAGCAAGACAGTAATGAAATTCCAGTGTTGACCCAACTGAGGCAACTCCTTCCCATGAACCATTATATGGCTTTTCCAGATCCCAAAACCCAATGGAAAGTATTTCTCTTGAACTTACCACCACATAAAAATTTCTTTTCTCTCTTTTCTTTGCGCCTGAGCACTCTGTCTCTGCTTACAAAAGCCTTGCCTTCTATCTACACTCTGATTAACTTGATTATAATTAACTTCTGCAGCTGACAAATCATCTTCAGATAGTTGCTTTGAAAAAGACTGTGCAGGGTCTCTTGTAGGAATGTGACCTTGTGAATCTTTGTGAGACAGCTTGGGCACCTCGTCTGAGCTTAACTCGGGCCTAGACAAACCCTCATCCCCATTGCCAAAAGACCCAGGCTCACCATCAGGAACATCATCCCCATTCCCATCATGAACATCAGACACAATCACAAACTGAACAGGCTGACATATAACAGGACATTCCACAGTCTTGGGGAAGTCAATGAATAGGTCTTCTGGGTGACGATTGCTAGTTTGCTTTAAAACAAGGCATATCCTCTACTTATTATATTTTCAAAGGAATCAGGGGCTTCAGCAGCTACAGGAATTTGATCTCACAGTGGCAAATTTGGTGACATGCTGGAAGCAGCCTGAGGTTTTCAATCAGGACAATACTTGGTCCAATACAGTCATTCCTATAATATTATCTGAACTACAAAACAATTCTCGCCTTTACCTGACTGCTCCCATGTAAGTCAAAAGACTCACCTGTTGTAGCCATGGTGACCTAGGTGAAAGGAAAAGGAGAAATATCCTGCTGTCCCCATGGGTAAAAACATAGTAGCAAATATAAAGAGCTTTGTGGGGGTGGCAAGGAAGTATTCTGGATCCTTCATTAGGAGAACAAAGGGACTTGTAATAAGGCTCAGAAAGACTAAGAGTGTACAGGGGCTCAAAATTAGGCTCAGAAAGAATGTTGTATTTCACAATATTTCCGTTTAAATATTTAAGTTTAATATGAGTTTAAATATGAATTAATCTTGTGCATGTCTACCCATTTCCAAAATTAATACACGTATTTTGGGATTGTGGATAATTTATTTGTTTAATTTAATTCCCAATCGTCGGGAAAAAGAGAAAAGTATGTAATAATATAGAACATTGCTAGCAACTTTCTCTTGTAGGTTGCAATTGCTGAAGCCAAGGTTAAATTTAGTCTCCATGAACTGTATTAATCTTTCAGATAATCTGACAACCATATCTCAATCAAAGCCCAGATAACTTTTGGAGGCTCAGACCATGCAAAAAAAACTGTACCTGTTCCAGCTGACACTTCAGCTTTGTCCATTCCACTTCCCAAGCTGCTTTATCAATAGCATACTGCTGCTGGAAACTATGGCGTTCTTGCTCATCATTCTGGAGCTCATTCCGGAAGTCATCCAACAGTATTCTCAAGGCATTTAAGAGTCGGTGGTTTTCTCTCGCCTGCAGAAGCAAACAGCATTAGTAATTCTAAAACATTTAAAGCACTGTTTGGAAAAGGTGCTTTTGTTGTTATTTTGTTTTCTGGATACTTGCCAGCTGCAATACAGGCTGATCAGATACATGAATATAAAATACTATCAAGTACCTTATAAATAATCCCCCAAAGAATGGATTCTCTAAAGTTTTTTTAATATTAATTTAAAAAATCACAATTCTGTCTGCCACATTGAGATAATGAATCAAAATGACCAAAATGGAACTTATAATTGCTCCTTTGTAGAACATTCCGCTCCTATTTTCTCTGTAAAATTACAATATGTAGCATATAAAGTTTAACTGGGCAAATACAAAGCACAGTCTGTCAAATGTATTTCATACTTCGGGAGATATTTAGTTGAACAACTCTGTTCACTGAATTTTGGAACCTGATGTCCTGCACATAATAGTTGAGTCCAATACCCATCAGCCCCGGCCATGTTTCCTGGTCAGGGACAGGGGTGTAGGTATGGGGATATTGCTCGCCAATAAGAATCCTGACCCTAATGGCATTTCTTTTATCTCCCAGATTTCTAGCATTGCAGTAATTTTAAACTTCAGTTGAGCATTGACAAATACCTGCTATGTAGATGAAACATACAAAGTATAGTCCAGAAACTATAGTCCAATGAAGGCGTTCTAGCCTTGTTAGAGGTAAGAAAACTTCAGAGTTAAGTATCTACACATTTATTTCAGATGTAACAACGCAGAAATGCTTTGAGAAATGCAATGTTTTCTGCCTTTAAAAGGAGCTGTTAGCTTTGTACAGGACAGACACCTTGATCTCAAGAGAAGTTACTTTTCTGTTTGTCATGGAGTTGAAATTTTATTGCTTTTCTTTTCTCTCTAGTTTTCATATGGCCAATAAGGGAGTGGTTTTTGCCTACACTAAAAACCCTCAATACCATCTTAACTGACAACATCTCAGACAAAATGTGGGCCCATGACGCTCCATGGTTTTGACGCCTTTGCCTGATGAAGCTAATGAAGCTGTGAAAGCTTGCATAATATATTTTGTGTACTGCAGTTTTGAAGAACTGTTGCTGCTTGTGGATTTTTGTTTTATTTTGCTACATGGCCAATCCAGCTACCTTTGAATATATTTTTGTGTCTTGAGAATGTTCACTATTAAGAAAAAAACTGAATGTATGTCATGGATGAAACTGTACTTGAAGCATGATCCCAAAAGCAACTCCAAGGGTTCCTGGATGAAGCAGATTATCTAGATCCATTTCAGTCTGGTTTCAGACTTGGTTATGGAACAGAGACAGCTTTGGTCACCTTTGTGGATGATCTACACAGAGAACTGGACAGGGGGAGTGTGTCCCTATTGGTGCTTTCAGTGGCTTTCAATACCATCAGCCATGGCATCCTTCTGAGTTATCTTTCTGAGATGGGGCTAGAAATACTGTTCTTCAGTGGCTCTGTTCCTTCCTGGCGGGACGTTCTCAGAAAGTGCTGCTGGGGGGCCCCAGTTCGACTCCTTTGCCACTGGCCTGTGGGATCCCTCAGGGCTCCATTTTGTCCCCCATGCTGTTAAATATATACATGAAACCACTAGCAGAGGTCATCCAGAGTTTTGTAGTGTGGTGCCATCTATGCAATTACGCAATGACACCAATTCTATTATTTAATTGGATTCAAAATACCAATAGCCAGAATTACAAAGTGGACCTAGTCAGCTATCAAAGGGCTGGGCAAGGGCTAAATAATAATTCAGAAATCCAACAATTTTCAGCTCACGTGTCCTGACAAACAAGAACCATATATAACCTCAATTTTTCTTTTTGCCCACATTTCAGAAAAATATAAGAAATGAAAGGAGGAGTCATATGATACATCCACAATCTCTTTCGAATTTCGCTTTGTTTTGTTTCTTGTATAAAACATAACCAGTGTTTGATCCTGTCTTTACAGACCACCACTGTGAAATATATATTTCCTGGAAAGATTTCAATGTAAGATACAAATCAACTGCTGAGTTTCTACACTGAGGTTCCACCAGTGTAGTAACATTGAAAGCTGAGACTAATATGGAAAACAGCAGTGCCAAAGGTAATTGTGAGTAAAAGAAGAAACATCTTTTTCCAGTGGCAATTGGAGAAGAAGCCCACCAGTTTCAAAGTAGAGATGTTATTATTCTACTATTTTAGTCTCACAAGTGAGGATGAATAATTTGCACAACTGTCTCCTTGCTGCTGAGAAAATGAATATTTTACAGTTTTTCACCTGAAGTGTTTGAGAAATTATTCTGTGTGAAACACATCTAGGGTTTTTGCATGAGAATGGAGGGAGACTGTGAAAAAAATCTCTTTCCACTGATGTTGGTTTTTTTTTTTTGTTAAGTTTTAACCCATAACGTTATGCTGGAAATGCAGCATCCAGTAGGACAGTGGTTCTCAACCTTTCTAATGCCGTGACCCCTAAATACAGTTCTCCATGTTGTGGTGACCCCCAACCATATTTTTGTTGCTACGTCATAACAGAAAATACTGGAGGGGGTTGGGAAAAATAGACCCTGACATATGGGAATTGCAGTTCACCAGGCACCAAAGAGCATTCTGAACTCCACAAACAATAGAGGCATGTACAAAAGATTAGATTTATCCTACCTTCAATCGCTTCACTTCCTGAAGAGGCTTCTTTGCTGCCCTGTGAGTGGTGCAGGCACAGCTGCCTGAGAGGCCAGAGGGTGCGAGAGGCGAGTGGCAAAGGCACCCTCCATGGCTTCAGCCATGCGGGGAGCCTGCCTCTCACCCCTTGCGCCTTCCGAGGCTGGAGGGTGCAAGAGGCGAGTGGCAAAGGCACTCGGAAGGCGCAAGGGGCGAGAGGCAGGCACTCGGAAGGCGCAAGGGGCGAGAGGCAGGCACTCGGAAGGCGCAAGGGGCGAGAGGCAGGCACTCGGAAGGCGCAAGGGGCGAGAGGCAGGCACTCGGAAGGCGCAAGGGGCGAGAGGCAGGCACTCGGAAGGCGCAAGGGGCGAGAGGCAGGCTCCCCTCATGGCTGCAGCCATGAGGGGAGCCTGCCACTCGCCCCTTGCGCCAGCCTGCCACTCGCCCCTTGCGCCTTCCGAGGCTGGAAGGTGCAAGAGGCGAGTGGCAAAGGCACCCTCCATGGCTGCAGCCATGCGGGGAGCCTGCCACTCGCCCCTTGCGCCTTCCGAGGCTGGAGGGGGCAAGAGGCGAGTGGCAAAGGCACCCTCCATGGCTGCAGCCATGAGGGGAGCCTGCCACTCGCCCCTTGCGCCCTTCCAAGACCGGAGGGTGCAAGAGGCGAGTGGAAAAGGCACCCTCCATGGCTGCAGCCATGCGGGGAGCCTGCCTCTCGCCCCTTGCGCCTTCCGAGGCTGGAGGGTGCAAGAGGCGAGTGGCAAAGGCACCCTCCATGGCTGCAGCCATGCGGGGAGCCTGCCACTCGCCCCTTGCACCTTCCGAGGCTGGAGGGTGCAAGAGGCGAGTGGCAAAGGCACCCTCCATGGCTGCAGCCATGCGGGGAGCCTGCCACTCGCCTTGCGCCTTCCGAGGCCGGAGGGTGCAAGAGGCGAGTGGCAAAGGCACCCTCCATGGCTGCAGCCATGCGGGGAGCCTGCCACTCGCCCCTTGCGCCTTCCGAGGCTGGAGGGTGCAAGAGGCGAGTGGCAAAGGCACCCTCCATGGCTGCAGCCATGAGGGGAGCCTGCCACTCGCCCCTTGCGCCTTCCGAGGCGGGAGGGTGCAAGAGGCGAGTGGCAAAGGCACCCTCCATGGCTGCAGCCATGAGGGGAGCCTGCCACTCGCCCCTTGCGCCTTCCGAGGCTGGAGGGTGCAAGAGGCGAGTGGCAAAGGCACCCTCCATGGCTGCAGCCATGAGGGGAGCCTGCCACTCGCCCCTTGCGCCTTCCGAGGCTGGAGGGTGCAAGAGGCGAGTGGCAAAGGCACCCTCCATGGCTGCAGCCATGAGGGGAGCCTGCCACTCGCCCCTTGCGCCTTCCGAGGCTGGAGGGTGCAAGAGGCGAGTGGCAAAGGCACCCTCCATGGCTGCAGCCATGAGGGGAGCCTGCCACTCGCCCCTTGCGCCTTCCGAGGCTGGAGGGTGCAAGAGGCGAGTGGCAAAGGCACCCTCCATGGCTGCAGCCATGAGGGGAGCCTGCCACTCGCCCCTTGCGCCTTCCGAGGCTGGAGGGTGCAAGAGGCGAGTGGCAAAGGCACCCTCCATGGCTGCAGCCATGAGGGGAGCCTGCCACTCGCCCCTTGCGCCTTCCGAGGCTGGAGGGTGCAAGAGGCGAGTGGCAAAGGCACCCTCCATGGCTGCAGCCATGCGGGGAGCCTGCCACTCGCCCCTTGCACCTTCCGAGGCCGGAGGGTGCAAGAGGCGAGTGGCAAAGGCACCCTCCATGGCTGCAGCCATGCGGGGAGCCTGCCTCTCGCCCCTTGCACCTTCCGAGGCTGGAGGGTGCAAGAGGCGAGTGGCAAAGGCACCCTCCATGGCTGCAGCCATGAGGGGAGCCTGCCACTCACCCCTTGCACCTTCTGAGGCTGGAGGGTGCAAGAGGCGAGTGGCAAAGGCACCCTCCATGGCTGCAGCCATGAGGGGAGCCTGCCTCTCGCCCCTTGCGCCTTCCGAGGCTGGAGGGTGCAAGAGGCGAGTGGCAAAGGCACCCTCCATGGCTGCAGCCATGTGGGGAGCCTGCCACTCACCCCTTGCACCTTTCGAGGCTGGAGGGTGCAAGAGGCGAGTGGCAAAGGCACCCTCCATGGCTGCAGCCATGCGGGGAGCCTGCCACTCGCCCCTTGCACCTTCCGAGGCTGGAGGATGCAAGAGGCGAGTGGCAAAGGCTCCCTCCATGGCTGTAGCTCCCTCCATGGCTTGTACCTTCTGAGGCGATTGGGGGGGGGGCAAGAGGAGAGCATTGGGTGGCCTGCTCAATCCTCGCCCCTTCTCTGCTAGGCAAGAGGCAAGGGCCCCGCGCATGCCTTTGCCTACAAGCTCCTCCTCCTGACTCCCTGCAGTCCTGCGAGAAGAGGAGAGCCAACCAGGAGCGCCTGGCTGTTTGGCTCGCACAGGATCCTGCAGCCATTTTGGTGGGGGGCGGAGCTAACTTAGGTGTCTTCGCGACCCCCGGAAAATGGCCCAGTGACCCCCTGGGGGGTCGCGACCCCCAGGTTGAGAACCGCTGCAGTAGGAGGAGTCTTTATGGGACAGATGTTTCTGAGCTCTAATTCCTATTAATTTTCTTAAATTCTGCACATGGTACTTATTCTAAAATCTTTGGGAACAGAACTGTTCTGTACAGCCCTCCTCTAAATTAGGTTTTAATAAGAAGAAATTCCTCCCAATACTAGCGATTATAAAGTTAGAAGTGATTGAAAACAGGACCTGGTCTATCACAGTCCCAAAATTGTGAAGCAATCTTTCACACAAAATCAGCCAGATCTGAGAGGCAAATGAGCCAGCTTTAGAAAACATTTTACTGATATAGTTTTCATCTACTAAGTGCCTGAATTTATTATATCATTGGTACTTGTATACCATATACCCCAAATGCTTTTCCTATGCTCACCATATCCTTTTTTATCCATATTTCTTTTATGTATATATAATTTGAAATGTGTCAACAAAAATCATATTAAAAAGTATATAACTGACAAATGAGTTATTTCCACTATCTTAATAAACAGAGATATTTATTTGACAAATGCAACATACTCTGCCTGTAAAATACTTTTGCTCTGTCTTGACATTACATTTGTATTGGCTTAATGATAGTATTGTTTGAATTTTATTTGTATATCACCCAGATATCCTCATAAATGAAGAGTGATTTAAACATGTTATAATAAGTAATAAAAATATTAATAATGATAAAGGGTGGTCACAGCATTTCGTTAGCTACCAATTGTTAGTTTAATGATTTCAATTGCTTTAAAGAAAGCTGGATTGTACCCTAAGTCACTGCTCCTTTTTGAAAGAAGGCTGCAAATTTAATGCATCTACTGGTATTTCCTGAGGCCTAAATATTGCATATCAATCTAGGTCAGGTTCAAAATAAGTAAATCTCTCAATACAATCTGGGTGGGGGAGAAGACATTGACATTAATTAGCTTTATGGAAAAAAATAATACAGTTACAGAGATCTCTTGCATTGTGTGTCTTCATTTTTAAAAATAAATTATATATGCTTGGTTTTTTAATTATTTAAATAAAATAAAAAGCTTTCCACACTAATGGTTAGATGGTACATTGCTGTGGAAGGATGAGTCTGTAAATGAGATTTGGGAAAACTTTAACCTGCAGGCTTAATGTGGTCTAGCAGACAGAACCAAATCTCCCTCTGCATGACATATTGTCTTCCTATAATCATGTCCACCAGCTGAAAAATTACAAATAAAAAAAAATCTGCCGAAACAGTACCTTTGCCCTCTGTTTCTAGTATACAGCTTCCCAGTTTTCCATTAACTGCTTGCATTTTTGTCTGGCTGAGCACCTACCATATTAGACAATATCAGGAAAAGGAAGGAACAAGCCATCTTTTAATTTGGGTGTCAAGATTATCCCTTTCTCCATGCACAGGACTATTGGTGATTATCTCATTCTGGATCACCTTCTATTTGCTGGGTTGGTGAAAGATCACAGGAATTTCTTATATCACATTCCCCACCCCCACCCCTTCTTCCTGTTTCATGCCCCCATTAGAAAAATCCTCATGAGATGGGAATCCAGAACCTGCAGAAATCTAGTCATCCTCAGTATCTGCTAGACTTCAGGGTGAGCCAAAATTATCAGAAAATGGTTAAGGATCCATTTCTTCCACAGAGTGGGCTTTCTGCAGAATAATCAACTCTCCAGAGGCATATGATGCCTCCCATTCCTGTTATTTGTCTTCTTCCATACTTTTAAGGAGCAATCTGTGTTGCTGAACCCTATCCTCCAAACTAGAATACAGCAGATTTGATTGCTCTATTGAAATGAGACCTAAATTCCAAGAGTAGATTCACAGAATCCTGGATATGGAAGTCACCAGACACTTCTGCTGAGAGTGATGATATGTAAAGAGGGAAGTCAAAAGAGCAATGCCTAGGAGAAATGCCTCTCTGATCAGCAATAGTTCTATTATGAGTAGCAGGTAAGCAACAATTGGATAATAATATTGATAACATGGCCAGGAGCTGCTGGAATTCTTACTGTGCTAGTACTGCTGGTACTTGCAGCACAAAACTTAGATAATGGACCTCGCCTTTGGCTTCTCTCCATTTGGTTCAATAAACAACCGAATAGGACGAGCTGCTATGATCTTTAGTATGTTCCTTGGACTCTATTTCTGTCTGTCACTTATTTTGTTCATTGATTCCATACATGCATTGACTCTAGCTCTATTTTTATGAGGGTGTGTTTGGTTATGTCACAAAATGGGGCTCCCAGCCTACTATCTGGTACCTCATTAGGCATCTGCCATCTGGACTTTTTTCTTGACAAGGAAGGAAAGGAAAAGTAAGAGAGAAACAGGAAAACAGCTTTTCATGACACATGGTAATGTTGAGAGAAGATAAAATATTATTTTGGGGGAAACTACAACATGAAGGTTCCCAGAGCATCATGAAGCATTCAGGAAATATGAAGGATAAGAAAAGCCAGCTTTCACTCTATAGCAGTGTTTCTCAAACTGTATTCCTTCAGGTGTTTTGGACCTCAGCTTCTAGAAATCCCAGCCAGCTTACTAGCTGTTAGGAATCGTGGGAGTTGAAGTCCAAAACATCTGGAGGGGAAGAGTTTGAGAAACTCTGCTCTATAGAAAGAGTGCCTCTGTATCAGAGAAATAATGTAGCAACTGTTGATTTAGCTCAGTGGTTCCCAACCTTTGGTCCTCCAGGTGTTTTGGACTTCAGCTTGCACAATTCCAAACAGCTAGTAAGCTGGCTGGGATTTCTGGGAGGGCCAAAGGTTGGGAACCACTGATTTAGCTGTCGAATACTTATTTAGCAAATAAGTGTTCATTGATCACTTATTTGCTCCGTGATACATGGGTGATCCATGAAAAATTATTTGCTAAATAAATGTTCAACAGCTAAATCATCTCTTCCATCCCCACTGTTGTGCAATTAGTATCATGGGCATGACAAGATATTCTCAATATAACAGAGCAATTGAACACAAGGAGACTGTTCACCAGGACAGAGCAAGCGCTTGCACATTTGTCTTAGTACCTGCTTTTGATGCTGCAACAGTTCTGCAGTCTGTAGGGGTGGCCCATGATCACTTATTTCCACAGTGGAATGTTGGGAATAATCTGTCATTGTGAACACTTCCTCTTCATCCTCCTCCTCTTCCTGTTCATTACCCTTTTGTTCAGACTGAAAGCTGAATTCTGGCATGGGATCTGGATGCTCCATCTAAAATGGCAAGTGAGTTAAATCAAAGTTAACATTTCTATATGAAGGTTTTGATGCAGTATTTAATCAATGTGCCTTTGCTGGTTTTTCTTATTGTCTTCTATGACAACAAGAACTCTTCTTTTCTAAAGAAAGAAGGAAATAATAAGGATGGACCTTGGATACGCAGGCCTTTGGTCTTAATGCACAGCAACAAAAATGTATGTAAGAGTCAATAGTCAGAATTACCATCTATTTTTGACATGCATTTTTCATGAATTATAAAATAAATTGAACTATTTAAACTGAACGCAAGGAAGACTCCAGCAATACATGGAGAGTTGCCAGATGAACAAGCTGGGTTTAGAAAAGGCAGAAGAACAAGAGTCCAAATTGCCAATATCTGCTGGATAATGGAGAAAGGCAGGGAGTTTCAGAAAAACATCTATTTCTGTTTCATTGACTATTCCAAAGCCTTTGACTGTGTGGATCATAATAAATTATGGCAAGTTCTTGGTGGTATGGGCATACCAAATCACCTTGTCTCTCTCCTGAGGAATCTGTATAAGGACCAAGTAGCAACAGTCAGAACTGACCATGGAACAACAGACTGGTTCAAGATTGGGAAAGGCGTACGGCAGGGTTGTATCCTCTCACCCAACCTATTCAACTTGTGTGCAGAACACATCATGTGATGTGCGGGGCTTGATGAATGCAAGGCTGGGGTGAAAATTGCTGGAAGAAACATTAACAACCTTAGATATGCAGATGACACCACTTTGATGGCCGAAAGCGAGGAGGAGCTGAGGAGCCTTCTAATCAAGGTGAAAGAAGAAAGCGCCAAAGCTGGGTTGCAGTTAAACATAAAAAAAACCAAGATTATGGCAACAAGAATGATTGACAACTGGGAAATAGAGGGAGAAAACGTGGAGGCTGTGACAGACTTTGTATTTCTAGGTGCAAAGATTACTGCAGACGCAGACTGCAACCAGAAAATCAGGAGACGCTTCCTTCTTGGGAGGAGAGCAATGACCAATCTTGATAAAATAGTGAAGAGTAGAGACATAACACTGACAATGAAGATCCGCATAGTTAAAGCAATGGTATTCCCTATAGTCACCTACGGATGTGAGAGCTGGACCTTAGGGAAGGCTGAGCGAAGGAAGATAGATGCTTTTGAACTGTGGTGCTGGAGGAAAGTTCTGAGAGTGCCTTGGGCAGCGAGAAGATCCAACCAGTCCATACTTCAAGAAATAAAGCCTGACTACTCATTGGAGGGAAGAATAGTAGAGGCCAAGATGAAGTACTTTGGCCACATCATGAGAAGAAAGGAAAGCTTAGAGAAGACAATGATGCTGGGGAAAATGGAAGGAAAAAGGAAGACGAAGGGCAACATGGATGGATGGTATCCTTGAAGTGACTGGATTGACCTTGAAGTAGCTGGAAGTGGCAATAGCCGACAGGGAGCTCTGGTGTGGGCTGGTTCATGAGATCGCAAAGAGTTGGAAATGACTGACCAAATAAACAACAACATTGTAAACAGCTGTCATGTATTTAAAAATGGCAAAAATCCCGACAGGGAGCTCTGGCGTGGACTGGTCCATGAAGTCACAGAGTCGGAAACGACTGAACGAATGAACAACAAAACTTGAACACAAAAGTTTGGAAAACATGTCTAAAATACTCACATACCTCTTCTTATTTCTGGTTTGGGTAATATGAACAACCAAGTAAACACAAATCCATCAGATGTTCAAGGGCATTGCAGAGGGATAAATACATTAATAGTGTAGAAAAAATAGCTACATGCAGCTACATGAGGAATAGTACAATTTGGATTTAATAGATTATGTTTTCCTTCCTGATTTATTTTAGTTGAGTAGTTTTAAGGAGTAATATTCCCTGTTCTTCCTATCCATTTTCTTTGATGAGCTATTCAGAATCTGTATGATTTTACTCATGATTGTACTGGGCATTTTTGTGAAACCAACAGAATTAAAAATGATGACTTCCATTTTTCTTTCAATAGAAGAAAATGGTAAACAAAACGTTTTTTTCTCTTTCAGATACAAGTCAAGATAACATCAGACAGTATGAAACTGGTACAATGTATGTTCTAATAGGTTACTCTGTCTGTTTCTCAGGGCCTTGAGAGTGGGAGTAGAGGGATGACATTTACAAAGATATTGATTTGCTCCATAGATATGTGACAGGCTTAGAAGCCATTCAGAGACCAGTAACAGGTGATTTAGAATTGCTGCACTGCTGAATTCTCACTGCCAATCTCTTTTAAAAGTCCCAAGGCAAGAAGTTTCAAATTTTCTGCTCTTCAGTCAATGCAACACTAATCACAAGGCCCCAGTTAAGGATATCCTGACATCTGAACTTGAAACAAGGTTATTTCTTACACTGCATTTTGTACATAACAGGCATATCAGCATCACTTTCCTTATAGTTTCAGTCCATTAAATAGCACGGAACAGTTACCTCAAGTATGTTCTCTCCTTGGTCCTCTATCCGCTTGCCTTGCCGCCAGTGTTTCAACAACCATTTCAATTTGATATAGAAGAAAAAGGTGTTCTGCTTGAAATGCCCAAGTTCTTGATGCATTAAGGTTTTTTCTTGACCCCAGGTCTTCTCTTCCAATTTGTTCTGCAAAGTCAAGCTTTGTACCTCCAAGTCTTTTCTCCGTAGGGTTTGCAGATGCTCCTCTTCTAACTTTAAACAGAATATGCACAAAATATCAACATGGTATTGCCCCTGAAGGATTTTTCTTGTTTTCATTTTCACATTCTTGGGCCAGATAAACTAACATTGCTAATTATAATTATAATCAGTCAATTGGGTATAGCAAGGGGGCTGATTTTAAAGAAGCCCAAACACTACAGGTTATAGACTCAATTTAATTAACCATATGTGAATAACCTGCTGAGGAAATGCACAGCTCATTTACTTTAAGAAGTTGGATCATAAATGCTTTAATGCTCTGGATGTGTACTTTATTACCTTCAGTTCCACCTTTTTATCTGCTTCCCGTATGACCCTGACCCAGGAACTGCTATATGTCAACAGCATAATCATTTATTAGTTGTAAAAATAAAAATTGATAGGTACAGCAATTCTACTTTATTTTTCTCCTTTAGGGTGGAGGACAGTTCCTTTCTTGGAAATGAAGCTCCCAATAGAGCCTTATAAAATAATCACCTAGTAAAATCAACAAAAGAAACAATGTAGATTGTGAAAGCATACTCATACATATGTACTTAGTTTCCCGCACCAAGTTACTCACCTTAATGTTTAAAGATTAGACAGATCATTAACCAGTCACAAGAAGAAACAAAGAGTATAAACACACAGTGTAAGCTGTTGCTGTTTTGTTCCAGAAGCATGTCCTAGAGAGCCTCAAAAAAGAGTGGACCTTGACTTCTGAAGTCCTTGATGGTGCACAATGCTGATCCAATTCCAGAAAGGAAGACGACTTTTCAGATCCTTTCAACTACCACAGAGGTTTCTACCCTGGTCCCTTACCCTTAGCTCACAAGTCCTGACACTCAGAGGTGGCAAAAAAAGAAGTAATTAGGGCACTGTAGTTGATGGGGGACCTGGATTTGTTGGATCCAGCCCCCTTTCAGTCTCTACCCATACTCCCATTACTGAGAAATGTGGACACATCGAATCGAATCCTCTCTCCCCTTACTTCCTTTAAAACCCGAGGAAAACAGAAGCAGCATTATGCAGGGGGAAATGGAACCAGCTCTTCCCACACTTTGATCTTGCCACAAAGGCTTTGTATGAGGTTTTGAACATATCAAAGCTCCAAGATTAAAAGACTCCTTTTTCCACTCTTCTCCTTGAGGATTTCAGTCTTAGAATTGCTTCTGCAGCTTCATAATATTTCAACCAACCTGTGCCTCAGTGAAAAAGCACACCTAAAACACACCCAGCCATATTTACCATTTCACAGAAAACAAGTGAAAAAGCACACCTGAAAACCAGCCAATCACATCTATCATTTCACATTAGCTTTATTTTTATCAGTATCATATTTAACCTATGAAATCTATAAAAGATAAAAAAAAAGGGGGGGGGAAGCTTCAATGTAGGATAATCTTCCTTTTAGAACTTTTTTTTACTTATTTTATGCAACAGGATTTGCTAATATTGCAATGTCTATAGTAATGTATGTTAAAGTGGATATAAGCAAACAAAACAAAACAAAAAATAAACACCTCTGTAGTCTTAGTATGATATTCTATGCCCAAGCTACTTGACTGAAAGATGGACTCATGGTTTCTTCTAATACTGATTACAAAAAGACCCAGTTTCTTCTAGCCCAACAAATCTTAACGTGGCCTGCCAGTAGTCAAAAAAGCCACAAAAATTCCAGAATCATAGTACAGATATATAAGGCACCTCTGGCAGTCAGATAGCCAAACAGACGTCTCTTCTAGTTATGTATTTACCTGCATGATCCTTTCTGTAAAGTTTTCTTGCTCCTCTTGTCGAAGTTTCACCTCCTGCTCAAGCTGAGCCTGAATCTCCTGTATCGATACATTCTGTACAGGTAAAACAGGGCAATCCCTGAGCTGATCAGCAGAACAAAAATTCTCACAGGTGTGACAGAACTACAGGACAGACATCACCGAGTCTCACAACGACACAGCTAAGAGACACTGTTCAACTATGTGTTATGTTCAAAATCAGTGAAATGGACTTTCTAATGAATGAAAAATCCCCAGAACCACTGATGGATTGTGAATTGCACATATAGGCTGATGATGAATGTGTGGCTCATATTCATTTATGCCTGAATACTCTGGGTATTCAGTGCTTTCCACATTTGCACTAAAAGATGTATGTGCATGCATACATCTTTGTCTTAATTGTGAATAATGGGACACAAATACTAAAAAGGTTCAAAGTGCTTTGTTAATTTGGAGATAATTAGTCTTGGATCAACACAGCTGCCTGTATTCTGCAAGCTCATTGCAGTTAGAACAATGCTGCTGGATTGTAATGTGCAGAAGTCCTCATCTTGGGATCTGCTAGCTAGAACTGTAGTGAGTTGTAGTCCAGCAACATCTGAAAGGTTGCACTTTGGTTATTTCTCTGCTGATCATTGTACCCACCCTTGATGGAGAGTGAAGGCATCAACAACTATGCCTAGTTTTAGGGGGTCTATTGCATTTGATAGCAAAAGTTGCAAAGTGATAAAAACATTACAATTTCTGTTTTCTGAATTTAGTTTGCATAAATCCCAACAGCTAAATCTGCATGTGCTTCAAATTGCAGACATACTCGGGTTTATGCAAATATACAGTACTAAGGATCAAAAGATGTCAACGTTGTGCCAATTCTGTTTTTAAAGTGGCTCACTGGCAACCTCAGTTATGACAACAATGTGAGAAAACAAGACGTGAAGGTGTTTCTTCCAATACACTTTACATTTTTGCACAGTTGCCAGTAATACCGGCTGAGGAATCTGAAAGTGCAAATTTTTCCAAGTTTTGCTAATTCCATTAGGTCAATGACCACATCAGGGCCAAAACATGGACACCAGCCGTGCTACCCAGATTATCACCATGATTCCCCAAATATAAGACACTGTCTTATATTTATTTTTCCTCAAGAAGATACACTATGGCTTATTTTCAGGGGATACTTATTTTTATTAAGTATGGTACAACAATCTGCATTTATGGGATAATCTCTCTGGGCTCCGTAGCAGACTGTTTGCTGAAGCTTTCCTCCTATCCCCTTGTGTCTGTATGGTGTGAGAGACCCACAGACTGTTGCTGGTCAAGGCTGGGAAGTAGCAGCTTTACTGGCGTTTGTGCGTGAGAAAGACCCACAGACTGTTGCTGCTTGGTGCTGGGGGAGAGAGACCCACAGTGCTGAATAAAACAGCAGCCACAGCTTTACTTCTTTCCCCTGAGGACACACAATACCTAAAGCAGAGCGTCCTGCTCCTCACTTCAGCGAGGAGACTTTTACTTCCGCTTTCTATGTCTTCCTCTATGTCTCAGCTTGTAGCATGCACAGAACAACCGGGACTTGAAGGGGAGTCGACATTGTATGCTGCATAGCCACGCCTATTACTATGTCTTATTTTCAGGGTATGGCTTATATTGCCAAATGCTTAGAAATCCTGCCATGGCTTATTTTATGGGTATGTCTTATTTTGGGGGAAACAGGGTAGTACTACTGTAGAAAATCACAGCCTTCCACATTTGTGGGTTTAACTTTTGCAGATTTGATCATTTGTGGGAACTGAAAGTCATAAAAAATCCTTGGAGGCTGCATATGGTCCCAGGGCCACACTTTGCCCATCCCAACAGAGGAAAAAAAGAAAGAACTTCAGATACCAGTGCAATCCCCTACATGTTGAAATCTCCACTGAGTTTAATGGATCTATTCTTAAGTACATTGGACAGGAATTCAACCTAATCCACTGGGAATAAACACAAACACCACAAATAACAACTACTGTAGACTACCACAGAACTACTGAATATAGACAAACACAGAACATCACAAGAACATTTCAATCCAGAAACATTACTCTCAGTCTTGCTAGAAACAATATTTATACTTTTTTCTATTTTCCACCACTTTTAACAAATGACTGCTTCTCGTAACACAAATTCATGATTAGAGAAACTATGTTTTCAGAATATTTTCCAAGAAGTAGCCCCCTCTCTTTCCAATACCATGACAAACATAAGACAGTCCTCAAACAAAAAAATAGTTAACCTGAAGATGATTTACTTGCCAAGTTCCCATTGAGGAAACTTTTTTTGTCTCCAGTTTTAATGGAATTACAAGAAAACTTTTACTCTGATCTGCTTTCTTACTCCAAGGAAGCTGCAGAGTTCTCTAATCGTTGGCACAGCATCAAAATTTTAAACAATATACAAAAATGAGAATGAAAGAAAATCCCAATTTGCTTGCAAACAAATGTATACTTAAATCATGATAATAGTTTTCTGCCATAAATCTACTATGAGAGTATTTTTAAAATACCATACATATGTATAGAGATGTGTTTTGAGATTGACTGATCGTATATTCTGTATTTAGCCATGTTTTTAACTTTTTAAAAATAGCTAAACAATAATTAAAAACTGCAAGGTTCCAACCTAAATATTCTGCAGATAAATTCATTCTTATTGGTCATATTATTTTACATTTGCACAAATACTATGAGAAGATTTCTGTCACAAAGTCCTCCAAAGGTATTGCCCAGTTTCTAACAAGCTCTAACACTTCATGTTCTATATCCAGAAAAGTGTAATTTTGTGTCAAAAACGATTATATCTGACTAAACAACTGACAATCAAGAGTGTTATACAATATTATGCCCCATTTTCAGAATTCATTTAGGATCTTAGTGTCAAAAATAACTTCCAGGATTATTAATTTGTCAGATTCAAGCAAAATCAGACAAACAGGACAAAAGAAGTAAAAGGAAAATATTCTATTTTCAGTGCTCTTTTAAATATTATCAGTTACTTCATAAATCTGTCGCCCTACCATTTTGAAACTGTATTCTTGAAATATTTTTAAAATACCTTCAGCAGTTGGAGAGCAACAGAGATGTCTATAGACCCAATGAAAGAATGCCTAATGTGAAGGACATAATTGGCCAAGAGATAACACCTAGCACATATGTGCTCATGGATTTATGAATCACACAAAATGCTACATATGAACAAACAAAGCATATTAATGGATATAAAATGCACTCATGTTGTGTGTTTTATAAAGTTGGAACAGAAAAGGGAAGGAAATTCAGTTCTAAATTTCAGCTAATTCCAGGAATCTATTATATGTGAGACTCCCTGTAGAAACAAAATAATAGTTAGCAAAAGGACATAATTGATTTATAAATACTTCTGCACACCAAATGAAAAGTTAAAAGATGACATTCACCCATTATGATTGAGCTGCCCTAATTATTCAGCTTCTCTTTTCTATAATGCATGCCAAATGGCCCTTCCTAAATATCAGCCATCTGCAATGTGACATTCTATTGAGTTCTGTGGGTGTCATTGGTTAAGGGAAAGGTGCTTCTGATTTCCCTATGCATTTCCCAGTGTGAGTCAGCAACACATAACAAGTCACAAAACTGAAAGACATCATATTCCTATGCTTTGTCACCAAGTTGCAACTAAATTCTTCCTTTGACCTGCTCGTGTGATTCTGGAACTCTAGTAGTGGTTCTCAACCTGTGGGTCCCCAGATGTTTTGGCCTTCAACTCCCAGAAATCCTAAAAGTTGGTAAACTGGCTGGGATTTCTGTGAGTTGTAGGCCAAAACACCTGGGGACACACAGGTTGAGAACCACTGCTCTAGGGGAAAATTTTACACCATCTCCCATGTATAGCCACAATGTTTGCACATATTTGTTAGTATAATCATTGGTATACAAGTAAAGAAGATACTAACAGTATAATCTTATAGATTCCGATTTCCAAGAAAGTCTCATTGAATTAAGTGGGTCTGATCCTCAGAGAATCCTATATGATACTTTCTTCTGAGGTTTTCTTTAAGGTGAGTAACTGGGGAAACAGTATCTTAAGCAGATAGTTGCAGAAGATGGGTAGTTTAACACTCTATGCCTAAGAAATAGACTAATCAACCTAACTGTTTAGTTCTTCCCAGCTAGGCATTAATCAAAAATATATCCACCCCTTCACAGTACAACTTTGGCTTGGGAATGCATAACTTCCATAACAGCAGGGCAATGAAAGATTTGTGGCTCTTTCAGACTCCTGTACAAGACTTTAAAGGATGTGCCAGATCATTGAACAGTGTAGGATCTGTTGCTCTGGGCCAATAAAATAACATCCATAAATAAATAACAGGTCCCTTGTGCTGATCGATCTGCATGCTTTGGTGCAGTAATGCGTAAAACAGATTCTGAAGATATTTGTATTTTAAATAGGTTGGCTCTTTACATAGCAATTCATTCACATTAAGAAATATTTCCTCTTTCGGACATAAAGAGAAATAATAGCTGCAATCTAAAGTGCTACCTTCAGGCAATCAGAGATTGGCAAATCCACTGCAGCTTTTGGATTTTCCCCATGCCAAATCACAAACAGCTTTTAAAATTCAAAACAGGCTTGCAATGCAGAACAGACTTGTAGACATCTATAAGTGCTGTTTGAGAAACACACATTCAAAAAGACACAATATGCCCTGCTCTTTGGATTCATATTTTATTGTTGCTGCTGTTGTTGCCATCAGTTTCAAAAATGATTTGTCCTGCAGAATAGAGGGGGAGTTGCTAAAATCCTAAGGCTTGCGGGGGGGGGGGGGGGGGGGGGGGGGGGAATCAGACTTCTAAGTAGTTAAATTACTAAGTGTCCAAAAAATGAAACTTTGTCATGTTCATAGTTTAGATGGAATGGGTTTTAATAATGGTTGTAATGTTTTTCAGTGTTTTAATGTGTATTAATTTTAATTGCAATTTAAATGTTTGTTTTAATTGTGTGTTTTTAAGGCATTGAATAAGTTGCCTATGTGTAAAGTCGCCTTAAGTCCCCTTCAGTGTTGAGAAGGGCGGGGTATAAATATGGTAGATAAACAAATAATAAATAAATCATAAAACCAAAAAAGGAGGGGGAGGTTAAAATCATGAGTTGCCATGCAGAATGGGTGACCTATTACAAATATAATCAACAGTAATATAAAAAGACACAAGTGCTTGCATTGTTAATTAGTTGGAACAGCAGTCTTGCATGTCATTTAGATTTAGTATGAAATGAGAATAACATAGCAGTCTTTTCTCCACTTTTGCAGGTGTTAGTAGAACTCATGAAAATGGGGAGGGGGGGGACAGGAACAGCTCCAGTGGCGGGTGAGCGGGGGTTGTATGTAGCACAATACACCTATTCTACCACCTGTGCAAATTTTGTAGAGCCACTGTCTATTTTTATTTCACGGGCAATTCATTAAATCCATCATTTTCTTTCTATTCTACAACAATTCTCACACAGAATGGCAAAAATATGTTCCATCTGTGAGCAAAGAACAGAAAATGTATCTCAGTGGGTGTTTAACTCCTACCTTGTGCCAAATTGGCAAAGGAAACAAGTTCTACTTATGGCATTTTTTTCTTTAAAAAAAGATATGTTTTCTTGCCATGTGTACTTAACCCAGAAGTTTATGCAATATATACTATTAATACTTCACACTACTAACATCTTGTGGAATGCCAACAATAGTAGCAATTTAGATAAACTGAAGACTATGGGGTGGTTTGAAATGCCAGACAGTATAGTTGTGTTGTCTGTAATTCCAATGTTATCTTCAACTAAAATATGGCACTGAAATAGTGTCCTGTTTTTGCTCAGAAGCATCTAATAAAAAGAAAGCTAGAAAATGCAATGTGAATATATTCTTTCCCAGAAAAAAAACCCTAAATTCAATTTTCGCCTTTTGAATTGGCAAACATGGAATGATCTTGATATTTTTTACAGACACTGATGCATAACAGATGCATAACCAGTATGATTTCAAAAGGTCCTTAGTGCCAAACTACATGCTACACTAATAACATACCATACAGGTTCCTTAATATTTTTTCTTCACATTACAATAAGAGTATGTGGCCATAATACCATCTGAGACATAGGGAAGAAAGGCTAAATAGATTTTCTTCCATCCTCTTCCCTCATTATGGACTTCTCATTTACCATTTAATTTTCCTCATGCAAATGCTGAAGTTATAAAGATTGGAGGTTATAGAATTAGAGTGCTTCTTTTTCGTACTCTTCTTAACTGCATTCTCACCAGGGGAGATGATAAAATTGTATTATATTCAGCATTGTGCTTTAATAGTTGCCTCCTACTAAAATGACACCAAATGTTTAACTTCTAATGTTTATTATTTTGCCAACATTAAATATTTTCTAGACTTATTAATTGGCACCTTACAGGGTTCAATTTGGAATTGTGTGGAGCTTCTCAACTGGATGAGCTTTTATGCAGAAGTAGTGGAAGAACTTCCCAACAATTTCCCCTCTCCTCAGCAGTCTCCAAAACTCGAGGTATCTCCCATGCCGATGGTTCCTCCAGAGTTTTAGAGGCTACTTTAAGTATAAAGGGTAAAGGTAAAGATTTCCCCTGACATTCTACTTATGGCATTTTTTTCTTTAACATTAAGTCTAGTCATGTCCGACTCTGGGGGGTGGTGCTCATCTCCATTTCTAAGCTGGCAGTGTCCGTAGACACCTCCAAGGTTACGTGGCCGGCATGACTGCATGGCGTGCAATTACCTTCCAGTCGAAGCAGTACCTATTAATACTCACATTTGCATGTTTTTGAATTGCTAGGTTGGCAGAAGCCAGGCCTAACAATGGGAGCTCACCCTGCTCCCTGGATTCAAACCACCAACCTTTTGGTCAGCAAGTTCAGCAGCTCAGTGGTTTAACCTGCTGCACCACCAGGGGGGCTGCATTTTAAGTGTATTTATTATATTTTAATCTGTTTTACCACACTGTAGTATTTAATTTTTTTTACCTATTATATTGTGTTTTTTAAACTTGACTAAAGTGTGGGATTGTTAGACACTTTGAGTCCCCACAGGGAGAAATATGGAGTAAAATAAAGTTAATAATAATAACAGCCTCGGTGGCAGCATAGAAAAACACATGTGGAAATGCCTTGTTCCAAGGACCAGGCACTTCCTATGGATCAAACTCATCTCTAAAAAGAGAAGGAGGTCCCCCACCCCACTCCACAATATATGAAACTGTGATTGAATTCAGCCCACTGTGAAAAAAGATAATCCATCCCCCATTTAACAAAGTTAGTGAAGTAGGATTGATGAATCTACAATAAGTAAGGTCCATGGGTCTGTTCTCACAGTCACAAAAGTAGATTAGAATAACAGATCCATCATTCAAGGAAGAATCTGAATGATCACTTAATGCAGATTAGTTAAACTTTAACAACTCATAGCTACTCTTTTGTTTACATAATCAGGGTAGTTTATGGGAACATTTTCAATCTTGTGTTAATCTGTGTCTTTTCCAGATAAATTCAAACTTTTTTCTCACAAGCGGATATATGAATCACCATTCCATGTTTCAAACACACTTTAGAAAATAGTATAACTTGTGCATTTTTGTAATTTGGAATGCAGAAATAATGTTTCTTGAATATATCAAGGGATATGTATTTTTAGTGTTTATGTTCCTGTTGCCCCGCTTCGGCGGGAAGGTAATGGCGCTCCATGCAGTCATACTGGCCACATGACCTTGGAGGTGTCTATGAACGACGCCGGCTCTTCGGTTTAGAAATGAAGATGAGCACCAACCCCAGAGTCGGACATGACTAGAATCTTCACCCTTTATCTTGACAGAAGCAGAAGCATGTGGAAGATGATGCAAACATGACAAAGTAGGTTGAAAGGGCAGATTACAAGTCGAATATAAGGGTTCTAGTTATTACTGAAAAGGGTTGAGAGAGGACCATCAAAAAGCAGAGGAAACTTGTAAATTAGATGTGCAATTTATAATGGTTATAGGGCTAACAAATGTTCCTCCTAGGATTCCTGATCTTTGGGCGGTTATATATGGACATGAATGTAATATGTTTAATATATATTAATATTGAATCTCATACCAAGATAAAGGAAGGGTATAAATCAAATAAATAAAGTTCTCAATGAAGGGTCCCTATTTGACATAGTATAACTATATTTCCAAACTCTTTTTTACACTAGCATCAGAGTGTTCATTCTCTGCCTATCTGAACTACAAAAGAGCTTAATCTATGGTGTACAGAAGCAAATACGTTAATTAGGACGTCGTATTTTTCTCCCCTTGTAGGTCAAACTGGCCCTGGCCTTCTGACAGATTTGCCAGTCGTAATGCCTAGCAAACCGAATGTTGAATCAGTAGTTTATCTGCCCAATTTCTTAAGGTGTCTTACGAGCTTTTTTATTTTTAAAAATATTGTTATAAATTGCATTTAAATTTTAAAAAACTCACACTGAAGGAAAACTGACATCAGGGGTTAGTGACATCACTGCTTTTTCGAGGCAGTTAAGGCCGAGTGGGCACAACCAGACTCTGCTATAAACATATCATCACTTTCCCCTCAGTTCAGTACAAATATATACATAAAACCAAATGCAAGGAGCACCACTGAGTTCACCAGTCAAGGATAGAAACTGATGCTTCTTTCATGCCCTAACTGTGGCATTTTACATCATAAAACCTATTAGTGCAGGTTGATTAGCTATGGAGCACTATGCATGCATATTTGTTGGTTTGTTCTTGTAAATGATGTACATAACATAAAACATCTTTTCAGTTTTGATTTTTTTTCGTGTTGGGAATGACTTGAGAAACTGCAAGTCGCTTCTGGTGTGAGAGAACTGGCTGTCTGCAAGGACATTCCCCAGGGGACAATAGTGCCATATATAAGACGGCATAATCACAATTGATACCTGCTTACTTCCAGAAAGGAATATAATTCTTAGCTATTTTCTTTCTGCTGCAAGGGTATCTTCAAAAAATGAAAAAAATTCAGTTAAGGAACATTTGAAGTTAAGGACTTATTCTTGTGTAAAGTCTACATGTGAAGAAAATGGCATTTTTTGTACAGTAATATGGTCTATGTAAAAAATAAATTTTGTTTGTATAAAATGTTTAAATTGAGGACCAATTCTGCAGAAACTTCACATATTTTGTACAGAATGAAATATATTTGACCAGAAAATAGTACTTCAGCACACACACAAAAAAGGTGCAATAAGATCCAACAAAGTTGTTCACTAGTCTCGCTTTGCTTTGTTAATTTCCTATTCCTCAAGCAGCATGTTTTTCAACCATTTTTAAAAAACAAATGGAATACTGGGATATCTTTTTCATCTCTACTTCCTGATCAGTGATACATTATACCTGCCATAACTGCTGTGATCGAAGTGATAAAATAGAAAATGCTTATTTTTAAAGCAAGCAATAATGAGTTCAATGTTTTTTCCTTAATTCAAATGCAAATGGCAGTGGTTCACATGACTTGCTTCCAATTTGCTTCCCTGACAAACACTTAGGGTTCTCTTCCAAGGATTTTTAATAGACTGTGCTAACCTCTAGACTGAAACAACTCTTGTTTCCTGGCCTGCAGAGTTTAAAGTCTCCATCAGTTCTGTCGTGTGGGTCAGTAGGGCTTCGTTGGTGATGTCTCTCTTGCTCCTCTCCAAGGTCTTGGCTGCGCTGCCATTCCATCTGATCCCTCAGTTTGGACTGTTAGGTGCATGGGTGGGGTTTATAACATAAAAAAACAAAGGACAGAAGGGAATAAAAGGAAAAAATGGGTAAGGTAGACGATTGAAAAAACTACAAGACAAAGAAAAGCGTGAACAGAAAAATCAACTTAAATGCAGTAGCATAAGAAAGTGAAGAGAACAGAACTAAAATGAGAATGAGCAAAATAATGGGCTGAAACATCTGAAAAGCAAAACAGAGAAAGAGAAGGGAAAGAATGCAAACACTGGTTATGAGGCGCATGCAATGAGGATGCATGAGTCAAAACAACAGCAAGCATACAAGTTATGGAGGATATGGGAATACCAGGCTCTTCCCTCCTTACTTGTGTTGAGTAGAAAAGCCATATCCAATGTGGCAGCAGTGGCAATACGAACATGAACCCAAGTGAAACGCATTACGAAAGGCAAACCCTCACTGGCTAGAGGTCTTCTTTGTTTGCCCCTTGGTTATGTGAGAGGGCTGTAAGTCGGCTTTTCAAGACTGTGACTTACTGTATTTCAGATTTGTTTATTGTTGGCAAGACCTTTGGAGAACACATGTCCCTATAGGAAGGAGTGTAAGAATGGGGGACAAGGAATGTTTATCTAACCATTAGCAGAACTAGTAGCAACTTTTTGTTGGCATTGCTTGCTAGTAGCCACTGTCTTTAAACTGACATAGCAAAAGTGCTTTGCATAAAATAAAGCATCTGTTCTAAAAGCCCTTTGATTCTATTAGCTGTTTTACCATGAGGAGCAGCTTATGTACCAAAGTATCAGAGATAAAAAAATCCCTACAAAATGTTTTATAACTTATATTTGGAAATAATAACCAAACAACTATGATAAAATTAAGATGCAAGAAAAAGTAAAGAGAAATATGAAGAGAAATAAAAAGACTCCTTACCTGTAAATCTGTGATTAGTTCTTTTCCCTGATTACCAATGGGTGAGTCTCGGGATATGGATGTCATGGTGGACAGAAAACTGGAAGACTCTGTAAGGTGAGGAAGAGGGGAAAGATCATCGATCCGCTCTTTCCTCACATTGTCAACCTTCTCCAAAAATGTTTGCAGTTCTTTCTGGAAATTTTTCATTCTTGAATTGATGGTGTCCAAAAGTTCTGGTTCATTCTTACTCTCCTTTTTCCCCTCATCTTTTTCAAACACTTTCTCAGAGGAAACACTGCTGGTTATGAGCACCTTTGCTTCATATAGTAAACTATCTGTATCAACAATGAGACGGTCCACAGCTCTTTCAAGCCTTTCAGCTTCATGTCTAATGTTCACCAGAAAATCTGCATCTTCTTTGGACCTTGTCAGTTCAGCAGAAGCAAGATCACTCACTTCTGATGGCTTCCCACTCCCAAAACCTGATGTCTTTTCATAGACTTCTTCAGAATCACTCTCACCCCCAATGGGTCCTTCTCTCTTTGGTTGAGGTAGACGGCCTTCTTCGTTGCCACCTTCTTTTTTCCCTGTGTCACTCTCGGCATCACTCTCCCTGGAGCTTGATGTTCGCAATCCTAGGTGAGAGGCAAGATCATAACGCTGCACATTGGACATTAACACTCGATTCTCATACTGGAGTTTCATCACCTTTCCACTAAGTTCATTGATTTGCATCCGGGCTGATTTCAGCTCTTCTTGTAAAGAGCCATTAGACTTGGATGCAGTTTCATCCAGCCAGCTGGCCTCTTGCCCAGGTTCAAACTTGAATTTGTTCAATTCATTTGTTAACTGCTTGTTATGATCTTCAATCTCAGCAATCGATCTCCTCAATAGTTCAGCTTCTTCTTCTACAAATTGCAAATGGCGGCGTAGTTCTGCAGCTGACTCTACAGAGTCACCATAAGGCGAGGTAGGAATGCTTGAAACATGGTCCTGACTGAGACATACTCTCTCATACTGACACCTCATATCCTCCATCTCAGCCTTAATACCTCTATTTTCCACCTCTAGCTCCACTAACTTTCTACCCAAAATGTTGGCTTCCTCTTCTACCAGTTTCAAACGAAGTTTTAATTCAGCTTCTCTTGTGCTGGGTGGTCCTCCGGCCTCCCCAATGGGGAGAGGGCTTTCCACATCTCCATAGATGGTTTTGTATTTTTGGAGTTCTTGTTCCAGTTCATCCTTTTCCCTGCCGAGCTTGGCCATTTTCTTACGCATCAGTGCTGCTTCTTCTTTGGCAAACTGAAGCTGGCACTTCAAATCAGCACTGTCTTCCTGCCAATAAAACAAGCCCCAAATCAAATTAAAAAGAGGAAATTGCATTGAAGATAAACATACTGTCTGAATCTGTAGTGCAGGAAAACATGAACTATATACAGAGAAAGAGAAAAGCACACAGAGATGATTCAATGAATGCATTGATGGTTACATATTTATAAAATTATTGTTGTCATTGATTAACTGAAAAATATTTACTTCAATACTAATATTTCAAAGGCTGCACATTTTTTCTTCATTAAAAAAGTAAAATGTTTGTTAAAAACATTCAGCTATTTCAGGGTTTATAACTTGATAAACCTTTACATAAAAATCTATACACATTAGTCAAAATAACAGATTTAACTGGTAAGCAGGATCACAATTCTACACACTTTCCTCATTAATGGTAAACAAGTCACTATGTAACAATCTTTGATCATGAACAAAGGCCTATCCATAGCTACTCAAAGGTATCTAAATCAAGTTCTGTCTTGTAATGGGACAAAGTCAGCTTTGGTAGCTTAGGTGGATGACCTGCGGAGAAAGCAGGGCAGGTGAAATTTGGCCCTGTTCTTTCTGCTGGATGTCTTGGCAGCTTTTGATAACTTCAACCACAGTTGAAGTTGCTTCTCTGAGAAAGGGGTTTGGAGACATATAAAACATGGCAGCAGGGTTTTGATTAGTTTTAATGTTTTAACTTTGTAAATAACAACAACAACAACAACAACTTTATTTACACCCCACCACCATCTTCCAAAAAGGACTTGTTTAATTGTTAAATCACTTTTTAAATAACTATTCTTATATTTATGTTTTTATTAATGACTTCATATAGTTTTTAGATATGCTGTTAGCCACTGAGTCCAATTAGGAGAAAACAGAGATAAAAATGAATACACACACACACACACACACATACATACATACATATGTGCATGAATTTGGTTATTTTCCAAACTAGCTGAAGGCGCTTTAGATCTGCATAACATTCTGTGACACTTTATTAATATAATGCAGTACTAACATATAAGGCATGTTGGTTTCACAGAACAGAATGAAAGAATACATCATTCTACTTCAAAGCAAATGTATATATCCCCAGAGTTAATATTAATATAAACATCTATCTATCTACTACGAAATAAAATAGTATACAGTAGGCCCTGTGGTGAAAAATAACATGTCTTATTTAAAAAGCTTATCTCATTGGCATGAAATTCTAGTGGGGATTAAACAGAAATGAAAGCCAAGTCTAAGTTTCAAACTGACAAACATTTCCTTAATATTTTCTTTCAGGAACCATTTGCTTCTATTATCTTTCATTAGATTTTTTTTTTGAGATACTACCCCAGGAGAGCATTTTTCTCAGGAAAATCATATTTAAAAAATACAAAAAGAAGAGCCAGATTCATCAGAAATTGCTGACAAAATAGACTATGAAGACTACTTTTGTTAGAACACTCCATTATGTAAATAGCTTTCTATCCTTTTTTCACTTTATGCAGATTTGTTCATTAATGGGTTTTTTTAAAGGAAAAATATTTTTAAAAAATCAAGGGAAAATATATGAATAAGAACAAACACATGCACATAATCTTAATAGTACTTCTTCAGTATATGAGACCAAACATGTACAGCCATATGCATTGGGAAGAGAAATAATATATGCACAGCATTAAAATGCATTAAACAAGCAATCTACATAGATAGCCGAATGATGTCCAAGAACTATAAGGCTAGTGCTATTGTGAAATAGCTATCCAGATAATGCAATAATAGAAGTTCAATGAAATAGAAAACAAAATTCAAAGATGACAAATAACATGAAGGATTAGACCTTTTAACTATATTAAGTGTTCAGTTACTCTTTCAAAATGTGGATTGCAGGAGGGGGAGCGAAGACTACTATGATTATCATGGGAGAGCCTAGAAGTCGCACCCATTTCCTCTTTCTCTCGGCACTGCCATTTTCTTGCTCAGCCATTCAAAAAGGACAAAAGTGGTCAGTACTTTAATTTTTTTTCATTAAGGGCCCTTCTGCACATGGCTAAAAACCCTGAAGTAACCAGGTTTAAGGAAGGTGGCAGCTAAATAACATTTCGCCAAAGTGCGGGCAGAATCAGGTGAAAAGTTCTAATTGCTTTCCACTTGTGCTTTCCTTATGCCCGTGGCTCCATGTTTTGACAATCAGCTGATCAGCTGTTCTGGGTTTTTAAAATGTGCATGTGTGCTGATACAGTCCACATGAGCGGGGAAAGGAAGGGAAGTACGTGTTTTGCATGACTGCAGGGATATACAGTCATGTGAATAGATGTGCATTTTTGGGGCACAATCGGGTTTTAAGTGCACCCTTTTAACACATGCTCTCTGAAATTCTTTCCCTTAAACTTTATAATATTAAACAGAGCTTAAATTAACAATTGGATAAAGAGAGAGATAAGAAATCTGCATGTGTTTACATTAAGATATTTGCATGTGTGCACATGAGGTCCAGGGCATAATGGGGTGTTGTTGTTTTTTTTTAAAAAAACTTCCTCCATATGGCCCCCATCTGCCCTCCATCTTGATCCACTTCAAAGGAAGGTGTGAGGACGATGGGGGACAATTTCACAGTACAAACAGGTATGTTTTGGAACTGCTGTGAAGTCCCGGGATTTTCGGCCCCACTTTTAAGACCCGCATTTTGGCGCTGTCTGGAAACACCCTAATACATAGATTCAAGTTGAAAAGGGTAGCAGAGTTCAATTTTCCCCTCTGCATACTATAACCCAGACTAGCAAGTATATGAAAGATGTACTGCTAAAGGTCATTCAGATTCCCTACCTATGTCAGCAAGGATTGTACTTTAACAGAACAATCATAACAAAGCCCCTTTGAGGATAATATTAAAGCCCAAAGATAATGTCTTACATGAACAAAAATGTTGGATAATCTAGTATTTTTAATTATTACAAAAATGGCACATAACAATGTGTTTGTGAGGCAGAAGTCTAGGGAGAAGATGAAGGGGGGGATTTAAAAGAGGGAAAAACATGCACTAAGGGAAACATATGACCAAAACCTACATGGCAATATCCATTAACAGAATCAAAACATGTTCAGTAGCATACATCTCAGTTTAATTACAATTATAGCTGCCATATGACAACCTAGTTGATAGCTTGGTAAGTGCAATTTACTATTATATATATTTTCTAACATTCACTCTTTGTGTCTGGCATCTTCAATGTTGAATGGGGTTTATAATCAAATATTAAAAAAAACATACATTCATTATCAAGTGACATGCTAATTAAGCACACAGAAGCCAGCTCTGCTAGCAAATCAGATCTATTAAATGCTAAGCAGCAGAAAAATAATAGACCAATAATGCAAAATATGCAAACAAAAGTCTCATGCACTGGCTACATTAATATTTAAAAGTAGCTAATTTCTTACAAGATAAATCAATAATTAGAACCAGGTCCTAAAGGGACATATAGTTGCCATGACTTTTTATTGCCTAGATACCTAAAACACCCATTAGCTGTGGAATCCAGTAGTTATTACATCCTCTGCTCATTTATTTTTTAGCTTAAATTGTTCTTTCTATATGATTGTTCAGACAACATACCTGCATACAATCAACATATGAATGAGACCACACTAGCCCACCTTCCAATTGCTCCATAATGAATGCATCATTTACACAAAGGCTATGCACATGCTGTTGACAATGTATCAACTCTTTATTTTGAAGCGTTTTCTTTTAAAGAAATATGGATTGGAAACTAATAAGCCTGCTTGATTAAAAAAGCACTTAATATAAAAAATAGGCTTGCAGTGCAAAAGCTATGATGAGTCTGAGATGAGAGCTTAATCACATTCCAAACCGTATATCAACATATTGGACCAATAAGAACACCCCAAAAGAGAAAGGGGATGAGAGTCAAATCTTCTGTTATCACCTCCTCGGTGATCTTGGCCAGGCAGAATGTGGCTATGCCCTTACTGGATTGTAACTGGATGAAATGACAGCATAGCTGGTGCCCAGGAAACCGGGCTAGTGCCAACCTTCCTACCTTGCGCTGAAGAAAAAGTTTTCTTTGTGTCCTGACTGCTGCTTGGCATTTTCCAAGAAGCTCCATTCTGCAACTCTGCTGAACAGAAACTTATTTTTTTCAATATAACTAAATGCAGAAAAGGAACATCTAATGATGTTTTACTTTTCATCATACTGAAATCCATTAAAAAAAAGACCAATGCTTCTAATATTTGTGAACTTAAACACTATGAACACTCTAAGGAACTAAGTTATCTGCAAATTTGTATACAGAAACACAGGGTTGGATCCAGATATTGTTCCTCCTCAAATGGATGAGAATTTCCTGTCAAAGAGCAAAAAAATCAAAAAAAAAATCATAGAGGCTTTTTTCTAAAGGAAAGAGGGATGGTGGAGACTGTTTTCTCCTTCAAAGCTCTCCTCCCCCCCGCCCCACCGCATCCCAGTGCTTTCATCAGCAACTCCCAAATATTAATGCTATAAAACTCACATCAGCTAAGGACAGCATATACAACAATCAGAAGTGAAGTCCATAAATATGTAGAAGATCTGAAGTAAATTATGTTCAGTAGGTCCTGAAAACAGGATAGAGTGTCTCCTGAAAAGTGCATGCAATCTAACTTCAATTAATGTACAATTAATGATGCTAGGCTTTCTCTCATCTAAGACTGAACTAAACGAGACTTAAGTTAACCATGACCACTGTAAAACATGTGTATGAGCTAGTAATAAAATGTAGGTGGGTGTATGATATAATTCAGGGCTCTGGCAGAAGTACTGGTGGCTACAACCGAGCCGGGGGGGACTGTATATGGTCCATGGCCACAGTTTGCTCACTCTAGTTTAGTCCTATGTTTACTGCTAGTTTCAGCCTCCAGTGCACTACAGCCCATGTACAGGATATTTTGAAAAGCTATAGTGGACAACTTGTAATCTACCAGATGATTTTGGACTTTCATCACCACTCTCTGTATAGCCCATGGTGAGTGCTGGTGAAAACTGAAGTTCAACAATATGTAGAATACCACAATTTGTCACCTGTGTTGCACATCAGTGAAAAGTATTCTGTCATTACCTATGACTAATGGTAACCCCATCGTGATCTTTTCAAGGCAAAAATTATCAAAAGACAATTTACCATTGCCCTTCTCTAAGGCCAGGAGAATACAACATGACCAGCATCATCCAGTGATTTTGTATGGCTGAGTTTCAAACACTGGTCTCCCAGGACCCTACTCCAATACTCAAGCTACAATGCCACACTAACTCTCCAATGTCAAATGAAGGGCATGCTTAACCCCCCCCCCCCCATGGCAAAACGCAACAGGATATCTATCTTTATTTGTGAATGCTAACCATCTGGTATTTCTGTTATTTACAATGTTGCAATAGATTTTCATTGTTGGCTGCAATGCGGACTTTAAGTCATTATGGTTTTTTCCCCCATCTTGGTAATTTGGTGACATTTCTCACTCTTGTCAGCTTTCTCAGACCACTTCATGCAGCTGATGAAATGGGTAATTTTCCAGGAGCCTGGCCAGACTTAAATTTTACCAACATACAAATAAATTGTAATGAACTAAGTAGGAATTCTATGCAACCCATTCCTTACCCACATTTCTACCATTAAAAAGTAGCATCTGATCATATCCTAGGAAGCTTCTAGCCATAGTTACCCAGGTATGGTACTATACACCTCCCTATCTCTATTGTTATAGTATGTATAATATTAAAGAACCCAATTATGGTAAAGAGGATCAGGCATCATTTTAAACAGTATGATCTCAGATACTAGTGAACCCTATTGAAATGGGAGACTTCTAGTCCAAGAATACAACAGAATCATGCTAGAGGACGTAGAAAATGTTTACAAAGGACATATATTTGCTGAAGTGTATAAATAAAACTGCGGATACCTGTCCTGAAGATATGTGGTTTATGCTGTAAAAGCTTCCAACAAACCTTCTCAGAGTGGAACTCCAACCCACATACCCAATCTATTTAGCAATTACTCGTATAAAAACAGGGATAAGGGGGCCAATCACATTATAAAGACCAGGGGTCGGGGGAGGGAATCCAAACAATTTTTTCCTGGAGGAAATCACACTTAAAAAACCAAAGTCAACACATGGTGAAATCAAGTAATATGCAACCACAAATCAGATTTAGAAATCTCTTTAACATGCTGTGATCACACGCTGTTCATTTCAAAAACAATGCCTCTGAGAGAATAACACATTAAGTGTTGTTTCAGTGTGTCAACTGCATTTGGTGCCAAGGTGCTCATTAACACAAAAGTCTTGGCACAAAGGATATATTTAGTTAATGTCCCTAAGCTCTACCTGTTCCAAATATTCTCAAAAAAGGTTTGTTTTATTTTTTCATAAGGAAGGTTTCTGCTCTTGCCTACATACATGGCCAAGGAGATTTTAAAACGCAAAAGACATGTAGTTTATCAAAGATAAAATTCTAAGTAACTAACATTTTAGCATCACAACTAACATCTGAAGTGTCTTACTAATTAAGGACATTAATTTGCCCTCTCAGTGTCTGTGTAATACTGGACTATGTCCAAATGCTTGGAGACAGACAGTACCTGAGCAAATGCCTTCTTTTCTTTATGAATATCCCTGCTGCCTCTTCTCTTCAAGGAGCTCTGAAAAATAAAGAATTAATAGTTCATTAATAAAAAACAGCACACAAATTGGTAAGGGTTATGAAGAAGTCTTCAAAGTAATCCAAGTGAATGCACTGAAAAGTAATAGTGTTGTGACATTGTATTTATTATTTATTTATTTACAGTATTTATATACCGCCTTTCTCACCCCTGGGGGGACTCAAAGCGGTGAGAGCTAGTGTTAGTGTTTGTTGACTTACCAGTAAAAATAACTAATATTTTTAATTCTAATGACATTAAGAAGAAAGTCTATGTGCTGCATATTAGGGGCTCTACCTAAAATAATATGTTGAACCCTATGTTAAGAAGGACCAGATCAATTTCTCAAATAAAAATAATTGAGAAGGGAGGTCAAAGACCGAATTGAGATGGTATCATGAACCAGCCTTTCCCGTAGTTCCCAAATGTTTTGAACTGCAGCTCTCATCAGCACAGTAGATACTAACTATGGATAACGTAAAATGGTTGTCCAATACACAACAGGAATTGTAGGTAGGAGAATGCTGTTGTAGAGCATAAGAACAATTTTGCATGGGCGCTGCATAGAGTTGTTAAAGTTTGCAGAAGAAGTCTAAAAAAATGAGAATTCTTTCTCTAGGATATTTATTCTTTTCCCAATATTTATTTATTTATTTATTTATTTGATGCACTTATTGACCGCCATTCTCAGCCCTTACGGGCGACTCATG